CATCTTTCAAAAACCGTTTGCGAGCGTCGGTGATTCATCGTGTGTTGAAAGTCCGAAGTTGTGCTGTCCGTGGCGTCTTTTACGAATAACTCGCTCGTAAAAAAAACAAAAAAAAACAAAACAAAAAAACAATGAAACACGCGAACCTAGCAGTGTACACATAATATTAAATTTATTGTTAAAATATATTTATTTATCTATTAATATGTGTACATCGTGCACAAAAAATAGTCGCGCTTAGTTTTTCCTTTAAAATTATAATGTGGGTTATACGGCGTAAAACATAGTATCTTCAAACTTGCATCCTTTTGGGTCAATTTTGGGCTGGACAGCTTCTTTGAAAGTTCAGCAGCTGGACTTCATAGAGCTGTCCTGTTCACTCGGTATTGACAGCAGGGTAGACGTTATGCGTGTTTTAGACCAATCGTGTCCCCGGTTAGGGTCACGTGACTACAGTCTAGAAGCTGGTGATAAGGCAGAACACGGCACCTGCCTGAATGAAGCCCAAGGCCCACACATAGCATTCACTGCACTATCAACCTTGGTTACAAGTGACAAATTCTCTCGTTGTGTTCATTGTTGGGATGCCCCTGATGATAAGCTTTTTGTGTGGGCACTCCCGTTTTGGCCTTGAAAGAGTTGCTGCCTTTCTAACTTTTTCTCCTTTTCTCTCTCTCCCTAAGCTGAAAGCGTGGTAGAAGGCACGCACTTGCCGAACCAATCAGCCGTAGACTTTTTATTGCTTGACTTCGCTCTCTGTGCGCGGGAAATGGCAGAAGCTTGGTGGGCACATTGATACTTTAGACCCATGTTGTAAGAAAAACTATCTCCAGACTCCGGTATAAAAACAGGCTTTCCGTGCAAGGCTCGTCAAATTATGAGGCGCTGGAGAAATGCAGCCTTCTGCGTTAAGTCCTTCTTTCGAACTTTTTTCGTTCGCCTTCCGCCCATCGAAAAGCATGCGGGAAGGGCCTTAGAACCAGACATGTACAAATTACTCAAAAAAGGTAGTTTGAAATGGATTTGCTTGAGCCCTTCCCGCCGTCGACATTGAGGAACCGCTGGTTGCTCGTTGCAACAAATTACCTCACCCGGTACTCGGAGACGAAAGCCCTTCCGTCGGAAACAGTTGTGGAGTTTGCCAAGTTTTCCGTCGAGTCTATTCTTCTTCGACATGGCGCCCCCGAAGTCTTGATAACCGACCGAGGGTCATCGTTCTTGACCCAACTGACGTAAGAGATCCTTCGGCTCAGCCACATCAGCCATTGTCGGACCACCACGTATTATACGCAGACCAACGAGCTAACGGAGCGGCTCAGCAATACGATCGTTGACATGATCTCCATGTACGTCGACGTATAGTACACAGGACGTGAGAAGAGGTATTACCATACGTCAGGTTTGCCCGCAACACCGCAGCTCAAGAAACAACCGGTTTTACGCCATTCGAGCTGGTGCATGGTAGAAAAGTGACGATCATGTTCGACGCGATGCTGCCCCATAAGCTAGCGGATGACGGATGCGACGATGCCCATGCCGTCAGTCAGGGAGAAGAAGAGGCACGACAACAAGCCCGCCTTCGAATGCACGATCAACAGCGTGTCGACGCTCGCCGGTACCATCTTCGCACCCATGCCGTCCACGTCCAGCCCGGAGACAGAGTGTGGGTGTGGACGCAGATTCGTCGCCGCGGTCTCAGCGAAAAACTGCTGAAGCGCTATTTTAGACCTACAAGATCATCCGAAGCATCGGAGATCTAAACTACGAAGTTCTTCCCGACGGAACATGACCATCAACAAGACGTCAGCCGCGACCCGAGGTTTTGCACGTGGTCCGTCTCAAGCCGTACTACGATAGATAGGACTGTGAACTGCTTGAACTGTAACTCTGTTACCTGCCGTGTTTCTTTTTTGCGTATTTTGCTGTGTAGTGTTTATTTCCACGCTGCATCGGGACGATGCGTCTTTTAATTGGGGTGAAGGGGGGGGGGGGGGAGTAATTCCCACGAGCGTGGCCGAGTGCTTAACGCACTTGGCTGCTACTCAACGTGTCCCAGGTTCGATGCCTGGGAGCCGCATATCAAGTTTGTTAATTTGTTGGAAAGTGTTTCTAGTTTATTCGAGCAGCTTTTCGATTGTTCTCGTTAGTTCCGGGTGAAATTGTTCTAGGGCCGAACATTCTATTTCGCGACACTACCCTTCTCGATAAAACGTGGTCGGCATGGTTGTAGGCTCTCAGTCTTTCGCCAGCATTTGATCTTGCCACTTCGCCGTCATCGACGCTCGCCTTCAACGCCTGTTATTACTATTTTCTATTGGCACAAGTTTGCCTTTTTAAACGTTTAGTTTCTACCTCCGTCCCCGTCTCGTCAATCCATCGGTGACAATATTTCAAGGTGTCGATCACTTTCAAGAACCGGCTCCCCTGGTGGAAGGCATGAGTTTTCGTGATCCCACTTATATAAGACTAGTAATTGTCACTGGTTTCTACAAACGCTCTTGTTCAGTTAGGTTCCGTACTCAAGTTTTAAAGACAGTGGCGTTGTTGCCCTTAAATTCTCGGAGCATGCCCAAGTAAGGAATTAGCCAAGGACTAGTGTGGTACTTAAAATGAAGGTCGCTAAATTATTAGAATGTTTTAGTAAATATTGTGCCTTAAAATTGGAAAGCCCTAGGAGCTTAATAGCTTGAATTCCACAATATAATTGTGGATGATTGATCAAAAGCTTTAATGTGACCCCCCCCCCCCCCCCCTAAAAAGAGCTGCTTCAAATGAAAATACTATTTGCGCGGTGAGAGGAATGCCAAACATTGTGAATGGTCGCTCCAAATAACGAAGGCGGTAACGCATAAATCTACAGCAAGATAAAAAGGAGTGCTGCATAGATTCTTAAGGCTCCAACGCAGTCAAAGTGATCTGACAGAAAAATTTTGTTTCGTTCGAGCTAGAAGAAACAGGTCCGCCCGGGATTCTACATCGCATACCCGTTAGTGCTTTCCTTTTTACGCTGCCGGGCATCACAATAATTGGTATTAGAAAAATATTCAAGATGTGTGCAATCAGGCATAGTAAAGGGAGTGTCATTTCGGCTGTAGATGAGGAGGACTTATCGGTGGAAATAGGCACTCGGCTGAAATGAAAAGGAAGGGATATAGTCAGCAAGAAAACAATTCAATAAAGAGAGATACCTCATTTCAAAGAATGGCAGCATGGCTATAGACCCAAATAATTTAACATGAGTAATGTGCGTCGGCACAAGAACAGGAAAGTACTTGAGATAAAGATGATCGCCACCTCCAATCACTAAAAGCATGAAAGTGATATTACAACATTCCTGAAATCATAGGTGGAGACGTTTATACGAACGGTAGAATAGGACCTTAGTAATTCTAATCACTTTGGTTGTAGCGTATCCAGCAGCTAAAAAGAGACCACTGAAATTATTGAAAGGCGTTCGAACGGCTAGCTATGGAAGCGAAATAAGAGATGCGAAATCGCAGTCAAAGGGAAAGTACATTGTTTGCGATACATTGCGGAATACCTAGGCATTATCGATGTGATATTGTTTGTGGTTGAACTAGCAATATAATTTTATAATCAGGTTGACTTGCAAACGTTACACAGCTAAATGCTAGTATTGAGCTTACGTACCCCGCAACCAAAGTGTACAAAGTGACACCGATATCGCATTCCAGTCCTAGTTCGGACCACAACCATTTAAAAAACTGGCAGGAACGCCATAGAAGTGTGAAGGACTGCTCCAGCTCCTATTATCCGCGATAGTACTTCTTGTACGATAGAACAGCACGCCGACACAATCTCGTTCGCCTATTGCATTTTGGAATAAATGTCCTATTGCCACTTTGAATACCTGGTCGGTGTGCTCTTTCCGGGTTAATGTGTTTTGTATATTATGGGCCAAATACCTTAGGCTGTTAACCTGAGGTTTCAACTGGGTGTCAGTATGCAATCGAATTTATAAGTCACAATTAACTAGAAAGACTAAAATATCACTATTTGTCGCATTAATCAAGAGAGGGACATCTGTTAACCAAGTCAGTATAGTGCATGGAGATACGTCAATTCAAGATTGAAGCTCGTATGTTGAAGAGCAGAGGGAATACGACTGATCTAGTGCCACTAAATAACCTACGCTGCAGAGTAACGACACTTGGCCATATTGTGTCTTAATATCACGGTTGCCAGTTATCTGAAGCTTTATCTGAAATCACAGGAAACGCTTTTCTGCCTTCCACAAATGTTTAAACACTTCGCGAAAGAGCAAAGCAATATTACATAACCTTCCTAACACTGAATCATATGCCGAGGAAGTCGCGCTTTTGTATCATGACGGTCGGCAGTTGCGTCTGCTCTGCATACGAGCCAAAATGGCGGCGCCCACAACAATGTCGGGGAACGAAGTGCCGATACTCTAAGCGCAGCTCATTTAGTGGCTCTAGACTGATCCTTGGGGCACTCACGTGTTCGTTGAAATTTAGTCCCGATTATTTTTATTGCAAACAAAAAGCGTTTCTGTAACAGAAAAATTCTTTTAAAGTGGAGGTTTTGTTTTTAAAAGATTTTCCAACACTCCTACTCCAGCTTTCTCGTCTTTCCCTTTCTTTGTTAGAGCCAGGCTTCGTTCTTCAAAAGGTTATTTTTGGTGAAGTGGCTATAAGTAGAGTTTTCTTTCTCCCTTTTGCCCTGAAAATGTCAGCTGAAATGTTAGCATTTTAGAAAAAAAAAAGTAATTAGAGTTTAAGGTACGTTAAGGTAGTCAACATACTTTCCTAATTTTGCAACTTAAATATTACTCTAAATGCTTTAAGAAGCCGGCGTCAACTATCTAGTAACTTATTAAATTTCCTCGTTGAGAGTTTCTTACAACACCAGTTCTGTGCCACCAGGATTAAAAGGCACGTTCCCGTCCCTTCCAACGCTGGAAATGACCCCGGGTATTGAGTAGAGGATAGAGAAAAATCAACTGCACGGAGACAAACTTCTGTAACCAGTCATTGTTTATTGCCAACAAAGGGTAATCACGTGGCAAAGTGCAATTCGTCCCGAAAAGCGAAAAAGCAAACAAGAAAAACGTGTATATAACAAGTTCAAGAACTGCATTCTATCACTACAGAGCGACCACACTGCTCGACGCTCTGCTGCGACCTAAATGTGTAGAATATATGGTATAGCGCTGTGTCTAGTCAAGATTTCTTAATCTGAATAAGTGCGATATGGTAGACGCTAAATCTAATTGAAGACTGTAAAGCTTAGGCTTGATTAACGCATTGCTTATGACGCTGCGTATTAATAGATTCCAGAAAGTTGTAGATCCATGTGAAAGAACCTCGGAAAAGGGCGGCATTATGATCGACTTCTTTTTTTTTTTCTGTGCCGCGTACTATGACATAGGCGACAGCCGTGCTAAGTAATCATGATTTCAGCTGCAGTGCACATGGTGTGACCTTTGACACCAGGAAACAAATACCACGAATGGGGTTTCTCGTTATTAGATAGAGTACTGTTATAATATTTCTTCGGCGCTCGCGCTCGGAATCGAAGACGACCATCATGAATTATTCCTATTATCATTCTTATATGATATCGAGTTCGTTTCCAATCTCTCGCTGGTGTCGGAAATATTCGGGTGCCGCAGCTGCGTGAATTATATTGTGGGTTTCAGCCATAGTCAGCAAAAATCTGCGCCTGCCGGCAGCACCAGGTTATTGTTTTTGTGTTTTTTTTCTTTTCAAGCCGAAGAGTCAGCATATTGTACTGATGATTTCGTCTCCATCGTTCTTTTATTCTAGCCAGCCGCGGCTCGCTTGGAAGAATGATATCGGAGTGGTTCGTTTTGATGGCTGTACTCGGCGAGTGATCGAGGTAATGTTAACGAGTGTTCCACAGCGCCCTCTCAGCCTTTTGAGCAGTTGTCGGGGTTGTCTCCGACGGAGCACCTTCGAATCCTACAATCTACTGACCGACGCGAGGGAAGCTCTCCATCCGACCTCCCAGAGGGCCCACTCCGCGGGGGAAGAGAACGAAAACAACGCGCGAGAAGAACACACTCGCCTGCTTCGACTCTCTCGGGTTGGGCTAAGGCTTCAAGACGGACCCTAGATACACACTCTCGTAGTCCTAGCTGTAGTGGAAAAAGAGAACGTAACAATTGCTTAAAAAGGCTGCGTCCGCTAGACAAAGTACTAGATGACGTCGGTGTTTGTAGTAGGTCGTATTTAATCGAAGTGACGGCACGAGCACGCAGGATTGTTGGTGATGATGATGACGGGTGAATCGCGGAAGTTTGGGACGGGGGCGAGGGGTTTCGCGCTAGCCTTGGACCGCGGTGAACGACGGGGGCGGGGAGTCCTAAAAGAAAGCGTCAACGGAAGGCCTACCTCCGCAGGCAACCCTCAGTGTATTCGTTCAGCTGCTTTTCCTGCGGTAACAAAACAGGGAGGAACTGAGATAAAAAAGGACAGGTTGCTAGCAAGGATATGCCTGTCCTCGTTGGGCTGGAGAGGGGAGGGGAGTTGGCCCGCCAGTTCCTTTAAGCACGTTTCCTGCGTTTCCTTTGCTCAAAATTGGTAGTATTTAGAAACTACTGCATAGATGTCTGCTGCGAGGTAACTGGAACACGACTTACTAGAGGGGAATTTATATATATATATGATTATATGTATATACATATATATGTATATATGTACACGCGGTCATACTAGAAAACAGGAAACAAATGAAGAACAAGAGTATCACAAATCTCGGCTATCGCATTGCTGTCTCCTTGGCCCTTGGCGACAACCCGTTCCCTCGGAGGGATGATAAATGCGCACTTCAGAAGATGCTATCTAAGAACCGAAGAGTGGTCAGGAGCAATTCAAGATCGTCTCTGGATCCCTTCAAGCAGAGGGGACCGAAACACCGTTCGATATCAGTGAATTGTGCGCTCGACAAATACCGAATGATGATTGAAAAGTTCATCGGGTCGTAGTGGCGGAACCATTGCGCGAATTCTCCAATGAAATATTACTATCTACTGGTGGAAATGCTGCCGAAACATTTAGCGGAGGCTTCGCATTACGAGAGGTTTTAGCTGCCGAATTTGATTTATCATGAAATTACTGAGTATGCGGTGTCACGAATACATGGTGCCATGTCATTAAGTTGCAGTTTTTGTGCATTCGCCTTTTGTATAATCTCCATTGATTACGCTTTTAAAAACTATCTAGCAATTTCTTTGTGTCTAACCAAGGCACAGCCCAATAAATGCTTCAACGCCTGTCTAACGATTAAACATGACATTAAAAAAAATGAAGCATACATGTTCAATTTATTTTGGTGTGCAAATATTTATATTCATGTTATATTTTCTCTAACTTTATTGCTCTAAACATGCATACTGTCGGATAACTATGAAAAGTAACCTTTTAGATCACGTCTTATATCATTGTGTTTTTTTTAAAGCTAGAGCTATTAAAAACTCTTGCTGTGTAGCACCATTTACGCCGCCGCGCAGGCATGCTCAAGCCCGAATCACATGGTGTGATTTTGCTTGTAAATTCACAGCTGCGAAGTTAAGCGCCACAACTTCCCCCCGTTTTTTTTTTTTTTTTTTTTGCCGCATGACCAATGTTGCAATTGCAAAATCGTAAGTAAAACCGCATCATGTGAATGAAGCTTAAGGCGTAACGCAATTTTCTGTATAGAATACCGTGTTCGAAGGCAGTACTCACTACTACTCTCCTGCAGTTGTTTTTAGAGCTTCCAATTGAGTATATTTTATGACCAAATGAAGGTTTCATAGTTTGAATATTATATTATAACTTAATTAAAAAAAGTAACGTTCAAACTCTGGGGATTACCAGTGAATTGTTGTTAAGCATTGAGTGCATCTTTTCTCTGTGAGAAATTAGTCATGCGATTCCGAGCTTCTGCAATGGGTACTCAAGGTTAGGATGGTAGCAACGTCAGAATAGTTGTCCACAGTCGTAAATATATCGTGATAAGTTCGTCACACAATTTAAGTTATGAGGAATGCGTTGTGCATTAAACGCCGGATACACAAAAATTTTAATAAATAATCCGTGTTCGATTTTTGTCTTCTGAGAGCGCCACAGGGCGAAAACGTAAATCGAGTTTAATAGCGTTTAGCTCGTTTCTGTTTTTTTTATCCTGAAGAAGATTTACTCGCACTACACTTCGAACAGTGGTCACTTAGTTTTTTGTTTTTCTATCACTCGCGCCACCAGCAACCAGCAGTCGGGCAGTAGCCTGATCGAAAAATTCCCGTAAACGAGAAGGAATTTCGCAATTCGCCGTCTAACACAATTTGAGTGAGTGCCTTTCATCTAATTTTTGTGTCACGTCCGACTTGACTCGATGGATGCCAGAGATAAATTTGTGCACTATAAGAAGTGAAAAGAATGGCGCGTCACCCTTGCAATGCTTAAAATGGCGCTACCGTTCGGGCGGGATTCCCTAGCAAAAATATTTAAACCAGTCCGCAGTGGACTGAGTGACTAGGGACCTATTTATCACTCCTACTCTATATGTACACCGCACATGTTGGCGTATGTCTTCTCCCAAAACTTCTAGATGGAACTACATGAAAAGGAATGATGTTTTTGTTTTTGTTTGCTTCGACTTGTTAATGTATATGACGTACTGGAAGTATACAGTATGTGAAGGGAAGTCATTTGAATGTATTGTCAACGTTAACATGGAGGCGATCGTCTTGGATATGGCTGGGTGTGCGAGAGAAGGCCGTCTCAGCTGCAGCGCAGTGCCGGGGCCTCAAAGGCGTCGAGCCAAAGGTGTCATTCAAAGAAACTTTGGCCGACCTTGGGTTCCGTTGGCACGAAGTGGAAATGAGAAACTAACTGCTGCTCATTGTTCCGTCAGATGACTTCAGGTGGCGGTGCTGACCTATTTGCCATATCATCTATACAGTGAACGCTACACCAGACGTACCCCAGAATGTTCATTGCGGTCACCTACGCACTGCGTCAAGAGTCTTAAGACTCCGCTGTATTAGTGTTATGGGCACACACCTTGTATACCAAACCAAACGTAGATTTTCTTGTTGCTCTGTGCTCTGCCGTTGGCCTAAATAGTTACTCCGCTTATTCAAACTAGTACTAAACCCAACATTACAAACTGAAATACGCGTCTGGATCCCACTGAATCTTTCTCCTAACTGGCAAGACATGTTCTGCGTTCAAGCGACCTCGTTATGACAATTTCACGCTGCTACCAAACACGTTGAGTTGTCGGGCCAAGCTTGACACAGGCACAAGGTTGCTAGTCGGCAGCGGTGGATCACAGCACGACGCTTCCACTACGGGTGACACTGCTGGCCCACTCCTCTGCGCATGACGACACTGCACGGCGCTGGACGACTTCCTCGACGTGACACTCATAGTTCCGTTCATCTTGCCAGGAGGGCAGCTCGACCCGCCGGCAGCCAGGCCAAAAGACGCCTTGACTGTCTGTTGCTGCTGCACTTTGGGGGAAGGCCTCCATTGGTTGGTTGGTTGGTGGGGGGGCGTGGTTATCGGGACGCCTTGACCTGCATGAGCCCGACTTCCTCGACAGCGTGATCAGAGCCCTCGAAGCACTCATCAAGGAACTCTTCCATTGCTTGGTATAGGTGGAGGGTCACCTGACCCAGCGAGTGTTTCTGGTCCGGGTAAACCTAAAGAATGCAAAACAGAAATTAGGAAATATTCCCTTTAACTCTGTATGAAGGCCATTATTACTACAACAAGAAAAAAAAAAGTATAATGGGAATCCAGCGCCCAATGTCCTGATGCGGCTTCTTGTGCTAGTGCCCATAGGAAACCATAGCCTTCACTGCGTCTTTGGAGTGAAATGAAGCTCTCCTAAATCGGAGCCCAACGTGGTAGACTGTGATCGATAGTTATTATAGCTTTCGTACAAAATAGTCTCTGTTGAGCTATACATATTAAGGTGATCGATGCTGACAGAATCCTACATAAGAGGCAATTCGCACTCACCTGCGTTCGATACATTATTCCATTATTGGTCAGCTCCTTTGCAAGCATCATGGAGTGTTGAAAGTGGACATTGTCTACAGGAAAAAAAAAATTTAGAAACAAATATTGAATTGTTTTAAAATTTTTAATTCGGTCTCACATATTGATTTTTAAACGAAACCTAATGATCTTTTTTTCTCTTTCAATGGACGCAGTGACCAAAAAGCACACATGATATTATGAAAATCTGATACTGGGGGGAGAAATAACGATTTTTTATGTTACTTGGTGGGTGACGTTGAATTCCTTCTAATTTATGCGTTATAATAGATCGAAAGGTATCGTTTTTTTTAGATGGCCGAGAGCAATCAGTTTGGCTCTGCTCTAGACTTATATGTTTACCTACTCCAGAGCGACTGTCCATTATCCGGTGCAATGCTTCATTCGGTCTAAAAAGTCCTAAACATTCTTATGAGGGGCAGATATTGCTGGAAAGTAGTTTTTTTCCTCAAGATTTTGTGCATGAAGACATCGTGCAAAGCTGCAGTATCGCGCCTGTCATCGATAAAAATGAATACAACGAGTGATAAGCTCTAATGCCGCTCATTACATAATATGCTTGACCGTATTAGACATGACAATGTGCTGCATGGCGTATTAGATGTAGAACTAATTAGCTGCAAGTTACATTTACGTTTTCTGAGGTAGGCTTGCCCCTAGATTTCCTGCCCCAATTGTTTGAGAAGAAGTTTCCTTGAAGCAACCGCCGGTGCTTTCGCCTAGGGCTTGTTCGCGGCGCAGCCCTTTTGCGAAACGTTGGCTGGCCCCTTGATGTTTTCAGGAGGCTCTTTTTTAGACTGTTTTCTACCAGCGACGCCTATCTACGCCTGTTGCGTGCACCAATTATGAATGGCCTACTGACCGTCGGCCGTCCCGTGCACGAGGAAGAACTTCTTGCCCTTGAGGTTTGCGGCGACGCGGATGAGGTCGGCGCGCTCGTAGCCGGCCAGGTTGTCGCTGGGCAGCCCCATGTAGCGCTCCGTGTAGGCCGAGTCGTAGAACAGCCAGCTGGTGACAGGCGCCACCGAGATGCCGCACTGGAAGACCGGCAGCAGCGAGTCCTCGCCGCCGTGCGGGGTGCCGTTGCCGGGGGCCCCCGAGCCGCCGTTGGCCAGGGCCATGGCCGCCACGTAGCCACCGTACGACCAGCCCCAGATGGCGGTGTGCTCGGCGCTGATGAACGGCAGCTCGTTCTTCAGGTACCTGCAACACGCGTCGCCAAGCGTCTCGGTTTCGATTCTGGCTTTTTCATCCAGGTAAAAGAAAAGGTTACGCGATCTCAGTGAAATCTGAGACGAAGCACAGGCGTGGCTGTAGAGCAGGAGATCGATTTACAGGGAGCCCTTTATCGAGCATGTTGTCGCCACAGCCCGGTGTTTACTAACACAGCACAACAATAAAATTAAAGCTCGCCTAGCACGGTCTTCGCACGAGAGCTTCGCTCTGACCAGTGCTTTGGTAGCACGAAGGAAGGGAAGGGCCTTCGAGTTGTCATCTTCGAAATCTGTTCAAGAACAAACAAGAAAATTCAGATTGTTGTCCCCACAGCTGAAGCGTACCGCTAGAGGCGTGACTGTTCGATCTCCCCCCCCCCCCCCCCCCCCAATAGTGCACGAGCCCATGACGCCCATAAAGACACAAGTCTCCACGTGGCCCTCTGTTTGGCTCATTTTTTTAGAGGAGTTCGCTGTGAAGGACATCGGGAAGTTTCGCTTCATATTTAGTGCACAACGCCGTCATAGCTAAAGTGGCGATGCAGGAGTCGGTTCATGGCCTAGTTAAGGGAAATATAGCGCACAAAAAGACGCAAATGGAGAGAAGAACACGGGGAAAGCGTTGCACTGACAACTGAACTTCTATCAAAAAAAAAAAAAGAACGCCTTGAGCAAAAAAAAAATAATTACAAAAAAGCAAGCTAAATTGACCAAGCTCACGCCAGCGTCAACAGTTCTCAATAAAGTAAACTTCCTCTTTATGAAAGATTGAGGGCTGACTTGATTATATTGACACGTATTAACGCTGACGTCTCTTTTGGTAATTCATGTTGGCTTTTGAGGTTTTTTCGCCTGAGCCGCTCTTTTGATAAAAGTTCAGTTCTTAGTACGACACTGTTCTTGTGTCTTTCTTCCGTCTTCCTGTTTCTTCGCGCTGTATTTACCGTAACCTGTCAAAGCTGCTCGTTCGGGCCGGTGTTTTGTTATAGCATTTGATTTACACGCGCTCTTGTGGGAATGAGACGCCATACTCTGTTGCCGGTTAAAGGACCACTAATAGGGTTCGGGAGATCGTCTATTTATGTTCATAACTCAATCAAAGGGCTCTAAGAATTCGGAAACAAAGTTTAGATTGATACACGTCCGATTCCTCTATTAAAAGAAAAAACAAAAATCACGACACGCCTGTATTTTTGTTTTGTTTTTCTTTTTTTGCGATTCGACGCAGGACTCATAAGGTGCCATGGACGTGCGACAGCCAATCGCGAGTGATCGCTTCCCTAGCGCGAATTACGCACACTCGAGAATCAACCCGTCGTCGTTCGGCCTCCCCGCTGCGCGGGAAGCGATCACTCGCGTTTGGCCGTCGCACGCTCGACAGTACCCCCTAGCTCTTGATCCGAACCGCAGAAAAACAAACCTGTGGCGATCTTTGACCCAGTTTTAATGGGACAATTAAACGTGTATTAATTCTAGTCATGTTTTTTAGATTGTTTAGAGCCGTAGGTTGAGTTACGACCCTAAGCACACGGTCTCAGAAAGCACTTTAGCGGCCTATTAAGAAAAGCAGGGCAAGCTGCTCCCGCAAGGCCCCCCCTGCAAGTTTTAGCAACGCTGGAGAGGAGTCTATCGCCTCCTCTCTAGTGTTCGCTCGCTAAAGCGCAAAGGGTGCTGGGCTCTGCGGGAGGAGATCGTCCTGCATTTTTTAACCCGCAACAGAGTGTAGAGGAAGGCGTGCTGCCTTGTCAGTGACTTGACAAAATTGTACACCAACTATGAAGCGAAGTCATCGGAGGGTCTTCGGTATGTCCCATGGGTCGTTTCCGTGCGACCGGTTTCATGTTTGATTGTGACCAAACTTGTACACTACACTTACAAGTAATCAAGTTACTTGTAATTTACTACTTTTTGGAATAATTTTGTATTGATCTGATTACTTTCTTTTGGTAGAAAACACACTGAGAGTAATTTGACTACGTGTAATGCTAATAAAATTATATTCGACGATTACATTTCTTTTTAAACTCCAGCCCCCCGCCCCCTTTTCCTTTACTTTTCGTTGTCCAAATTCCGTCTGAAACTGCTGCGGTATGTCCGCTTTAGCAGCGTCTAAATCTTGCGAACTACATAGAATTCAGCGATTTTTGCCGAAGTGTCACGACTAGAGGTCAGGCTTTTTGTCTAATCGATTTACAAAGTTTTTTTTTTTTTTTTTTTTTTTTTGAGCTGGCATTGTGATGTCTGGGTTTTCGATAAAAGGTTCTCAGTACGAAGAACAAAGAAGTACGAAGCGTGATGGGTAATGTAGCAGGTGCGTCTTCTTTTGCCATTTAAACAATGCCCCCCCCTGCTCTTGGAAAAAACAAATTCTTCATTTTAATGCTTATTTTTAAAAACAACTAGAACCATGTAATGTCCCGGCCCAAATGTGACACAAAACGTTATCTCTTTGTGAAGTGCAAGAGCAGCAGTCAGCGTTCCAGAAGATTCAGTCATTTCTCGAATTAAGTTTTGTGTGTTCTTTTTTGTAAAGTTTCGCGAAGCGTGGCACTAGCGAGTGCGAACGTTCTTTTGAGCAAAAAAGCTATACTTTTTTTTTTTGGCCTAAGTCTATGACGCAACGACGCTACGATCTAATGGCACCAATCAAACGGCGGCGAAAGCAAGTCACTAGGAATTGTTTTGTTTATGATTGGTTCAGGGATGATAGAACACGTACAGAAACACTAAACATGAAGCGAGGTAGAGTCACTTCGGAAGGTCTCCGGTGTCTCCTATGGGTGGTTTTCGTATTATAAAGATAAATGAAGCCGTGCACTCGCGTCAGCGACTTGACAACATTGTACACTAGGTATGCAGCGAAGTAGAGTCACTGCACATTGGATGCTGTGTGATTGGCCCCATGAGCTCGTAACTTCGGCTGTGTCAGGACTTAAGGCAAAATGATCTATACGGTGTTCAACTTCGTTTGATCCTTGCGTACCTCCTGCGTTTGCTCGACCCCAAGCGCGTCCGTTTGCGTTTGTTTCCGCCCGACTTTAAGCAAGGACGGCGCGCGCTTGGCTTTCTCGTCAACGCGCGGTCCGTGGGCGTTGACTATGTTGCCTTTCGATTAGCATGCCACTCCTTGCGCCATGATGTCCCAAAGACGCGTTTCGGAACACTTGCTGGCCCGTAGAGATCTCGTTTGTTCTTCTTAGCCACGGTGACCTAGATTTAGCTCTCATAGCATCGCTTCTTCGCCCATTATGGCTTAGATCTCGCCCCCAGTTCCCACCAGGAAGTTTTCCCCCCCTTGTTCTGATGTACCCCTTGTTCCTACAAGTTCCCTCCTGGGAAATCATGGAACCAAGCCCTGACAGGGGGATGGTCTACCTAAAGTGGTGGATGATTAAGAAGATGAATGATTTGTTATGCAGCGATTCTAATACATTATTGGGCAGTATGAAAAGCCCGTTTTCAAACCGACAGAAAAGAGACTGCCGTTTTGAACATCTAAAGTAATCGGAAATGTAACGGCTACTTTTTCAGGTAATGATCAAGTGCTTTTCCTCTGAAGTAACCTAAGTAAATACTTCTTAATCAAAAGCAGTTTACTCGATTACGTTCTTTGAGTGACATTTACAAGACTGATGGTTACATAGATGAGGTAGAGTTGTGAAGAGCGGTTTGCTTAATTGCTTCGGCTCAAAACGTGTAAATTTTAAGCGTCGCTGATACTCACTACCGTATTCCATTTTTTTAGTTTTTATTTGCTTTCATTATGTTCATTTTGTTCCCGTCGCCGATTCCTATTGGCTCCCTGAGGCTACTCTTTTACGACAGCGAAGGCGAATCATACCGTAGGCATTAGAGGCTTGTCTGCCCGTAAGAAATCGGGGGACACAAACGCAACAAGGTTGGCGCCGCCGGCTCATAGAATAAGGTTTTCGCAACGTAGCGCGGCGCGCTTGTGCTTGCCGGTTGCAGCGCCAATGCGGCTACCGAGCGCAATAATAATAATAAAAAATATATATATATGAAAAAAACGTAAATCATATGCGCTTAACAAGTACTTTCTGTTCGCAAATAATAGTTGAGGTAATGCCAAATCAACCAGGATAAACCAAAAGACAGTCTAAAATCAGCATAAATATTCTTAGCTGTTTTCAGCCAAATCAGTCCAATCCGTAGATCTCTAATTTGGCGTCCTTCTCGGATAGGTTTTGGCGTTCGTGTGCCGCGTTGACCGTCTGTCGCCAAAGACTTAAGCCTTCACCTATGGCGAAACTGAGACGAACGCGGGCGAACATACTCCGCGAGCAGCTGGCTTATTCAAATCTTAGCTGAGTTGAAGGCCTTGGAAGACTTGTTCCTTTAATGTACAGGTAACATGCTAGAGACGCTCGGCCGATGGAGCCAAAAAAAAAAATCACTTGGAGTCTCGGAATAGCGAGAAGTTGCCATGTTAACGGTTACCGCGTCGCTTTAGGTTTACGAACGGACAGAATCAGAAGGCGATCGTTACAAGCGATCTGATCGCGCATCCTTTGTGATTTAAGAAAAGTGAACCGAAGCTAAAGCCGGTTGCACCATTCACTGGCAATGAACGTGGCTAATACGGCATTGAGCATGACGGATTTTCTCCAAAGCAAGCGAAAAGAGCGCCGCCATTTTTTTCAATGCAATCCGACCCCGAGGAAATCCCGATGCTATTTCTCGAATTTTGCGTTAGGGGCGAGGGTCAACTCAAAACCCAAAACGCAGTTTGGGCTCGGTGCTTCCACAGTCGTGAGCCCATATTCCTTGGGGGCCCTCAAGTTTTCGGGCCCACTATTCTAAACTCTCTAATATCTATGCCATCGGCACCTGTACCAGTTAGCGGAAAGCTCGTGTAACGTCTCTTCAAGAAAGATATAATTTCCCACCACAAGAACGTGACTTTGTTGCTGCTTACGCAATTCTGTTTGTGCGTTTCTAAGTCTAGAGGCGCTTCGGAGTAGCGGTGCATGCATGGGCGCCGCCATAACCGACCATCAATGCATGTTTCCTCTCATTACGTCTATTTTACTTCAGTTTGACTGCATCACGGTGTCCTTCTCCCCAGCAGTGGCATTTGTGGAAGACCGTGAATGCCCGCTTCACTGGGTCGGAAGACGAGAACAGGTCAGCCATGGCGGCTGTAATTTGTCGCCTGTGCAAAACGTCTACAAAAAAACACACTGTTGACAAACGAGCCCGCCTCTACCCCACAGCACGTGTGGGAACTGCGCCTGCGCGGAAACCCGAGTCAAGTGACACGTCTGCGCATGCGTCGACAGCAACGCCACCGCAGCTGCGTGACGTCAGAGCCGCGTGTTGGTTTTTAGTAGAGGTTTCCTAGGTAAGGGCTGCTTCTAAGCACCACTTGTACGGTGTACTGGTAGGAATAGACATGTCGCGAACCTCGCGCAGAGGCTTGGTTCGCAACTTACAGCTTGGAGTCAATCTTTCAGAAGGTTGGTCGAGCTTTGATTTTTTCAATAGCTCTATCGAAGATGGTGCATTTTTTTTTAAAGGCAGGGTGTAATGAGTATTTTGTCAAGACAATCAGATTGGTGTCCGATAAAAAAAAGCCGACTCAAGAATAAGACAAGCTTTTCTCAAGCAGTATTTAAAGCACAATGCAAGCTTGGTAAAAAAAAAATGGCAGAAATTAGTAAGTACTCAAAAAAGGTCAAATAGCTTTATATCGATGCAAGTTTTGGAGGCTAAGCCTAGTAACATAAAATTGACTTTCAAATCGCACATTCTAGGCTTAGTTCAAAGTTCCTCGAGCTTTTCAACTTCGCATGTCTATTTCGCCGAATCAGTAGCGAAAATATACCGAAATTTTAAATACTGTCCAAACCTCCACCTAACCACATAAAAGAATTGAAACAAAAAATTCGAATTTTCCAACGGCCTATGCTCTGCAAAAAATAAAAAAAAGGAAGAATGGCGCGACGGGAGTTTGTTTTCGGGGCTTCACGTATAATTCTCAATCTGGAGTAGGGCTTTCGGGGACTTTTTGCCGACGACAGCGACTCGCGTACCTGGTGACGCGCAGCTGGTCCTCGACCTCGACGGTGCCCAGCCTGCGGTAGACCTGGTGCAGGCGGCGGTCCCCCTGGAAGCCCGAGCCCCGGCCATCCACCATGCCGTACACGACGCCCTTGCGGCTTGCCAGGAAGTGGCCCCAGTTGATGCGGAATTTCTCCGTCACCTGCTGGGACCCGGGACCCCCGTACACGTCCAGCAGGAACGGGTACTTGAGCACCTCTTCGTCGCGCAGCCCGGGCGGCAGCAGCAGCCGCACCGTCGCGTCTGTAAAGGTCGGTCGGAGGTCATACACTCATCAGCCAAGACGTTAGGACCCCCCCTACACTGTGGGAATGAGTGCGCCTAGCTGCCGCGCCCTCTGCGTCATATACCACCTGGTGATGCGGACTTTAGCTAAAGACTGCCGGGGCTGTAATGACCCGACGGCTCGGAATAAGCATCTGGGAAACTGCAAAGCTCATCGGGCGTTCGCGTAGCCGCCGTCGTTAGCACTTATCAAAATGGAAGAACGACGGTGAAACCGTTAATATACGCCGAGACGTTGCACTCAAACTCATTATCACAGAATGTGGATGTCGGAGGCTTTCCCGCTTGATGAAGATAGCTAGATGCAATGCAGGTAAAAGTGCACGTGTCTCTGAGCACACAGCTCCTCGGACTCTGTTGAGTATGGGACTCCGCAGCAGACGACCCTGCAACTGATTGGCGCGCCAAAGGTGGATAATTAAGACGGTTGTAGGTTGGAGGTCATGATGTTTCGACTGATTAGCGTATGGTTGAGGGCGCCACCACCACGTCAGCCCCCGGCCATGGTCAATAGGAACGGCGTTTAGGCCAAAGAAAGCTATCGCCGTAGCTTTTTATGGAAGGATATTACAGCATGAACGGCTTTTCCTGCTGTACAAAGTGTGCGCAAAAAAACTAATAAAAATACAGCGTTTTTTTTATGGCAGAAGTGAACTGCGTATTGTCTAAGTTTCAGTTGCCGCCAGAATGAAGTTTGCCATATGGTCTGAACCAGATACCAAAGGTCCAGAGCTTTCCGTTATTTTAATCGGAAAAAACTCTCGATTTAAAAAAAAAGAGTTAAATGAGAAAATGGGTCTCGTTCCCTGTAACCGACGCTACTCATCTCCATTCGGGTTTCGTTGGCTGCCATTTTCCCAGTGAAAATGTTTGAAAATCGCTTCTAGACAATGAAATACGGCACGCTCCGAAGCTATCCGCTATCGCTACGTTTGGGCGGCGCAGTCTGAGAGTTCGGGGACGCGTAATTTAGTTTTGCTGCGAATAACAAACCAGAAACGATGTAAATATTTTTTCGCGGGTACCTTGTCGCCTCAATCTTCGGTGTCACCAAAAGTAAAAAAAGAAGAAGAAAAAAAAGCGTCTCAAAAACGGGAGCTGCCGCAGAGTTGGGCAGCCGCCGAGTTGATTTCGCTTGTCGGTCCAGCTGCGTCATGGCGGGCTATCAAGGCCGCGCTTTCTCGTAGCGCGTTAACACGCCTCTTGCTCCAGCTGCGTCGATAGCAGCGCCGGAAACACTAACGTCCTAGCTCGGGATGGCTGTGACTTTTTAGATTAAAGCCCTTCATGCTTTCGGTCTAACTTGGTATCCGAGAACGGACCGTTAAGTTTGGAGAATGGCGGCGCTTGTTTTGTACAGCGGTGGTCATGTTTGCAGTTTCATCATAGTGGCGATCTGGCCGGAAGCGAGAACTAACCGTTGGTCGACCTATGGGTTATTTCGGAAACGAAAGGGTTACACCCTCAAAAGCACAACTGTCAGCCGTTCCACGGTTCACGAAAAAACATGAAGGAATGTATCCTCAAAGCACAGATAAAGAGCGGACCACAAAATACTTTATTACACCTTGATTAGAAGGAAGTAGAAAAATATTAGAGATGTTATTGAGTTCTGGTTTAATTGGCACTGAGTACCAATTTAAATGAAATGGCCTATATTGAACATAAGTAAAAAGTGGCAGTCGAAAACGCAGTTGCGTTGAACATGGTTAAAATTGCGCACAAAGAGACGAGGACAAACGAGGAAGGAACACAGAACACAGACAGGCGCGCACTCACAACTCTAGTATATTAAGTGAAGAAGAGAAAGATGAAGCACTATTTTTTACAGGGGACAACGTTACCAGGGGGAAACAGATCAATCGCAGTCAAATGATCGCAAGAAGGCAACTTCTTTTTCGCTCAAAGCTACCGACGGCTGGCTAACGCAGCGATCGGTCAGGCTCAAGATGGTGAACGCCTCGAGCACCTCGCGCGTTTGTTTTTCTTTAAAGCGGCCAATGATTGATGTTTTTTCTAAAGATGGTGTGCACATACAGGTTTTACAGTGCACCGAAAGGTGATCTCCTACATTGGATGTTAAAGAAAGTTTATGCTCTCGTAGGCGGTCATTCAGACACCGTCCCGTCTGTCCAACATAGCATCTTCCACATGAAAGAGGAATGCTATATACAACGCCCGATGAACAGGGAACAAATGGCCGCACATGTTCTTTTGTGGCACGTGTTTTTTGATAATTTTTCCGCCTTTTCACGAACCTTAGAACAAATTTGTCGCATTTTCTTAGGGGCTGATAGTACTACGGGCACACCATACCTGCTGGCCCCTTGTTTTAGGTTATGCGATATATTGTGTAGGTATGGCATAACCACAACCCGGTTTTTTTCACGGGCCGCCTAGTTTTTCACCCCCTTTTACATTCTTTACCAGCGTTCCTATCATTTCGATTAAGACCTGAATCGGGAACCTTGAAGATTTTAGTCTATCGATCTGGCCCAAGAAACTCCGATGAATGGCATGGAAATATGACTTTTTTGGGGGCTGAGGTGAGGCAAGAGATAGCAATGCCTCTCTTCACCACCTTGGAGTGCGAGGATGTGTAGTGAACAATACCTTTTTTGGAACGTGGTGAGAATGCCCAGCACAGGTGATCGGCGTGCAATGAGAGGAAAAGGTCTAAGAATTGCAACGCCCCTTCGTTAGGCTTCTCAAAAATAAAGGTGAGCCCAAAATACGTATGAAAAATGTCCATAATCGTAGTAACTAAATCTTGATCCGCAGTCTTTTTGTACAGTAAAAGAAAATCATCTACATATCTGAACACGTTGGTGACAGGCGTGGACTTAATAGCTAAAGCAATGGCACGGTCGATTCTCGCAAGAAAAATATCACTTAAGACTGGCGCGACACAAGACCCAATACACACCCCCGATTTTTGTAAAAATACCCCGTTTTGCCATCCGACGAAGGTGGAATTTAAATGAAACTGCAGTAGTTCAAGAAAACTGTCTGTAGTCACTCCACTTGAGTTCCGGAAAGCGATTTCGTCTTGGGATTCAATGCAGGCCCTAACTGAGCTAAGTAAAGGGTCATCAGGAAGGGAATAGAAAAGGTCTTGTACATCTATGCTAAATGCACTGTGATTGGAAAATGCATTTGTCTTTAAGGTTTGACCAACAGTTTCAGAATTCTTAACCAAGAAGGGATCCTCAATCCGCAAAGCGGAGAGATGTTTTTGGGGAAAGGCCGACATTTGCCGTTGCCACGTACCCCTCTCAGTGACTATAGCTCGAAAAGGACAGGCTTCCTTGTGCGTCTTTGCACTGAAAAAGACCTCCAGGTGCAGTCCTACGGCTTTTTTTATGTTGGCACCCGCGCTACCCTACCGTAGTATGTGCAGATGCCAGTTCTTATGGTTTGGGAGCCGTGCTGCTTCAAGAGCAGCCTTCGGGGACTCGGCGGGCTCTCGTTTTTGCTTCCAGATCCCTCACTCCCACGTAGGGTCGCTACAGTCAAACGGAGAAGGAGTCATTAGCCGTAACGTGGGCCGTCTTGCGATTCGACCAGTATATTCGTGGTCTGAACTTCGAGGTCGAGACAGATCACCTTCCTCTTGTCGCCCTTCTCGGGGGAACGGACCTCGAGCTTCTGCCACTGCGGGTGCAACGCATGCGAATCAAGCTGATGCGTTATCAGTACAACGTGAAGTATGTACCGGGAAAGCTCTTGGTGACTGCCGACACACTCTCACGAGCACCTTGTGACGCGCCAGCTTCGCAAGAAGTAGGGAGTGTGGAACTCTTCATTGGCGAAGTCTTCAAAGACCTGCCGGCAGCGGTGGCGAGTCGACTGGAAGACGTCCGCCAGCACCAAACGCAAGATGGGGAGTGTTCCATGGTAGTAACTTACTGTGGAAGAGGTTGGCCCAGCAAAAACAAAGTGGCAGCTCACATTGCTCCGTATTGGAAGGAGAGGGAAGGATTGAGCGTCTACAAAAGCGTACTACTTCTAGATCGCCGCATCGTCATTCCGTACGCTCTCCGACAGAGCATCCTGGCCTTACTGCACGAAGGGCACCAGGGCGTTCGCCGCTGTCAAGAACGCGCCAGAAAAAGCGTTTGGTGGCCGAACTGCAATTTACACATCGAACATCTTGTAGCCGAGTGTGCCAAATGTGCCGAAACTCGTGTGGTACACTCTGAGCCGATGATGCAGACTCCAACGCCAGAAAGACCGTGGCAGCGCCTCGGGGTAGACCTTTTCCAGCTAAAAGGACGTGATTACATTCTGATTGTAGACTACTACTCAAGGTTTCCTGAGGTCATCTCTCTCGGATCTACATCTACGCAAGCGGTCATCTCGGCTGTCAAGAGTTGCATGGCTCGCTATGGGATCCCGGACGTCGTGCGGTCAGATAACGGACCGCAGTTTGCATCTCACGAGTTTGCAAACTTTGCTCAGGCGTACGGATTTCGCCATGAGACTAGCAGCCCGCGGTACCCCCAGAGTAACGGCGAAGTAGAGCGTATGGTGCGTACCGTGAAGGACTTGTTTGCAAAAAGCTCTGATCTGTACCTGGCTCTCCTAGCTTACCGAGACACACCTGGTGTCAATGGCGTGTCTCCTGCACAGTTGTTAATGGGAAGAAAACTCCAAACTCGACTTCCTGGTTTACCCGAACGACTTGAGCCAGCATTGCCCAGCCATCAGAACTTCAAGGCGAGAGATGCCGCAAACAAGTTACAGCAGGCAAAGAACTACAATCGCCGGCATAGTTCAAGTCCTCTGACTCCCTTGAAGTTGGGGGAGGACGTGTGGGTTAAGGACGTCAATTGCCGAGGCCGTATACTCAGCCCCGCTCAGCGACCACGGTCATATATGGTGGAAACGCCCAGGGGCACTCTGCAGCGAAACCGTCAGCATCTTGTCCCCTTCTCAAACGGCCAAGCAGCAGAAGAACCGTCGGCTAGTTCACAGAAGTTTATGCCTGTTGAGGGTCAACGAGTATCATCGCAAGAGCCTCAGGACTTCGGCTGAGACGCACACGTTGCGGTCGTGAGATTCGACCGCCAAGGCGATTGGACTTATAGATCTTAAGAGGGGAGATGTAGTGGGCGCTACTGAAGTGACGGTGTTTTTTCTTATTGCTTACCAGAGGACGCCATCATTTATAGAAGATTATATAAGGAGTGGCGCGTGAGATTAAAAGAGGCTTTTTGGTTGTGGTCACGAGCTGGGCTGCTGTCACTTGGCCGTCGTCCGTTCCAAACGTTCCGAACATGGAGTTTGTTGGGCCAGATCGATAGACTAAAATCTTCAGGGTTCCCGAATCAGATCTTAATCGAAATGATAGGAACGCTGGCAAAGAATGTAAAAGGGGGTGAAAAAACTAGGCGGCCCGTGGAAAAAAACCGGGTGGTGGTTATGCCATACCTACAAAAAATATCGGATAACCTAAAACAAGTGGCCAGCAGGTATGGTGTGCCCGTAGTACTATCAGCCCCTAAAAAAATGCGACAAATCTGTTCTAAGGTTCGTGAAAAGTCGGAAAAATTATAAAAAAACGCGTGGTACAAAAAACATGTGCGGCCATTTGTTCCCTGTTCATCGGGCGTTGTATATAGCATTCTTCTTTCATGTGGAAGATGCTATGTTGGACAGACGGGACGGTGTCTGAATGACCGCCTACGAGAGCATAAACTTTCTTTAACATCCAATGTAGGACGTCACCTTTCGGTGCACTGTAAAACCTGCATGTGCACACCATCTTCAGAAAATACATCAATCATTGGCCGCTTTAAAGAAAAACAAACGCGCGAGGTGCTAGAGACGTTCACCATCTTGAGCCTGACCGATCGCTGCGTTAGCCAGCCGTCGGTCGGTAGCTCTGAGCAAAAAAGAAGCTGCCTTATTGCGATCATTTGACTGCGGATGATGTTTCCCCCTGGTGACGTTGTCTCCTGTAAACAATAGTGCTTCATCTTTCTCTTCTTCACTTAATATACTAGAGTTGTGAGTGCGCGCCTGCCTGTGTTCTGTGTTCCTTACTCGTTTGTCTTCGTCTCTTTGTGCGCGATTTTAACCACGTTCAACGCTTACCAACTCGCCCAACTTACTACTCTTCTGCAGTTGCGTCTTGCAGGACTCTCTTTGCGCTAGTGGTAGTGCCGTAAACAAAACGACTCCGCTTTCTTTGATGCACATATCTTTGTTTTCGTCGGTACACTTGCCACGGTTAATAACGCAATTAAATGCAAAGGTAGAAGCGAGCTGGAAAAGAATGACGAAAATAATTCCTGGAGATGGGGAACAAGAGGGACAAAGGACAAACACAGATCTCCAAACACAGCTAGGTGTCTGGTGCGCTTCCCGGACCAGGCGGATTGTTTCGGTCGCGCACTAGTCACCCAGCTGTGTTTGGAGATTTGTGTTTGTCCTTTGGCCCTCTTGTTTCCCTGCTCCAGGGATTGTTTTCGTCATACTTGCCACCACGCATACTTTAGAGGAAACCGCTATTACAGGCAAGCGAGGTCAATTTGAACAGAGTTGTCGTGTCCTTTGCTTTTTTTCTCCGACTATACTTGGCGACTGTAGCGAAAAGTTTAATATTAGTTTAACTTCCAAAACATGACGTTTGTTCTCATTAAAAAAATAAAGGTAAGTAGGGTACAGATAAATATATATATAATTGCAAAACAATGCGAGAGGTGCACGCTGCGCAAGAAATTTTGGGGCCTGAGTAAAACAGTGGATAACCTTCCAAGAAGCAACGTTTTTTTTTGTTTTTGTTTTTCCCTGGGATATCATGTTATGTCTAGTATCGCGACAAATAAGGCGGGCCCAGTCATCTACCACCCTTTTTCTTATGAGCGATAGCAGATAAAAGGAGCGTGTTCATTGAGCCGATCCTCAAAAACCTTTTGCTGTTGGCGATTTTAATGCCGCGCCAGATACAGACGAATTCGGTTTTCCTATTTAATATTATTTCACTCAGAGACGCTGACGACTTCTTCAGTTTTAATAACCCTAACTGGCGGATGAAATTTTTTTTTTAAATATATTTTGGTTGCTATATTAGCTTTACGTGCATCGTATTGTATAAAATGCCCTGCACGTTTGCACTGTCCACACGAAGATTGAGTGGTCACACAATTGAGAATCAGATTTATCATGGAGGGAGTGCTCTGAATTAAAGTCCCTTAATACTAATGTTTACAACTAACGACAGCCAATACGAATGACGAAGCACAATCCGCTGGAACAAAATGGCGTCCCACGGTTCAGTTCTCTGCTGGCGCCACGATTCGCTTCCTAAAACCTGCACCGTCACGCAGTCGGCGCTTCAAAGAATGTCGCTAATTGTTGCAAGCACTTATCTAGGAACTTTACTCTGAATGATTGCAGAAACAAATGAATGGATCATGAACAGGTATCGGAAATTGAAACGAAACATAAGTATCCCTTTAATATAATGGACAGCATTTATTCGACTCAGAAACTCGATCACGCAAAGAGCCAGGCACGTCTGGCGCCTGGTTCTAGCACATTGGGTCATTTATTAACAAAACTCATTTTTGTATCAACTAGATTAAACGGAAGAAAAAAAAAAAAAAAAAACGCCATCGAAATTAGTTAAAAATACAGTCTGAAAACGTCACCTTTCTTCATTGAGGAACGCGGGAAGTAGTAATTAAGCTCGGGGATAACGTTAACTCTTATTTGATGCTTCGGAGAAATCGATAAATTCTAAAATAAAAGGAACGTAAGAAATTATCCCGGCTGGAGTGATGGAAGGTAAGGACGTGTTCTGTAATGAAACGTATCGATCGACGATCCTCTGCGAGCCACGTCGGATGGAGAACGAAATTGATCTTTGAGCGACCATCTTTTTTCTTCTAAACTGTCGCATCGCGGCGCAACTTGGCAACACGGCTTTGATATGAAGCTGGCCGGCACTCAGATCAAGTATTACATCGCGAAGTAGAAGTATAAAATTTGTACCCGCATTGCAACCTCCCAGAATGTCGCTTCCAATAGCAAGTAACTATACGCTCGCTATGACGATTCTCAATTTTCGCTATCGAGCGCATTTTTAACAGATCATTTCTCTATCTCCGGTCAACAACCCAGTGAACAACCACTCCAACAGAACACATGATCCCGAGGATGTCCCGAGGACGTTACAGCGTCTCATGGATGTTTCTTGTATGTGCATAAGACCATCTGTGTTGTCTGGAAAGAAATGACGCTTGCAGCCTTGTAGAGATTTTTGATGCCTCATAGATTTGAGCACCTTGGTGAGGGGCACGAAAGCAAGTCAGGACTCAGGAGGCACTTACTGTATCCGTCGGCCAATGGAGCGTAGAAGTTGCGTACTTGGGGAAGGGCCCGCTGTTCTAGCAGCTCTCTCAGCTCTTCGTTGGTTTCCAACATGTCCACTGGAATAACATAATTGAAAGATGGTGAACGTAGGCCAGAGAAAAGCAAACTTCTATCATTTTCTGGTCACAGCACTAGCCCAATTGTTTCGCCCGACATTCGGAGGTGCTCCGATTTTATTACTGTGATATCGATTTATTTTTATTTTAAATATGTTTTCAAATACTATAAAGGCATTTACTGGGAACATAATAAAAAAAGGACTACTGTACATCTTTTATAGTGCATATAAGAAACACTCCGTTTACACTGAATATGGGAAATCATAAAGTGCTATTCAACTCCGCTCTTCAAAACATTACCCATAAAAAAAATGAAAGTTTATAAGTAACTATTATATTGCAATTTCCTTAATTGTATTACCAGAATTACAGGTTGTTGCATCACTTTGCTGAAGATGTTAATGACAACTTAGTCCCTTTTTTTAGGCTACGGTGTTCGACAATGTGAGAAAAAAATCATATAAAACGAAATTTGGCACCTTTATTATTCTGAATGTGTTTATTCCTAATATTTATTGTTATGTTATTTAAGGTGGAGGCAGAATATATCTAACCCACTTATAATAAATCTCAGAAATCAGCTTTGCATGCTCCGACACCTTGTTTTTTCAAGAAGGTGCGGCAAGTTAGTTGATTTGTTTCTGGAAAACATTAAAAATAAAACTTGACTTCGTGAAAATTTACAACTATAATTGTAAACTTTTTGAGAACCAACCTAAGTTTCAGCCTTTTCGTGCCAATGAAAACTAACGTTGTTGTGGGTCCTTCGGCCATTCGATTTAACAAAAAATAAAGCAAAAAGAGTGAAGAGAAACCTTTATAACCTTGCTCTCGTTCCCTGATTTTAATAAAATTCCCCAATGGCCCACACGAACTCGTATTTCACTTACTCTGATCGAAAGAGTCTTAACTCTTTAAAGAGTCACATCAAAATTTCGGATTTTGTTTGTAACTTTTGATTGGCACAAGGCTTTTTGTTGATATTTTTACAAAGCGTATTCACCATATAGCCGCACTTTAACGATGCGCTACAGTGTGGCGGTATTCATAGGTGATTTTTGTGAATTATTCAAATGAAGTTAGATGCGTTGCGCTTACGCTGTAAACTTATTTATGCAAACGTAAAGATTTCCCAGACAAAAAAAAAAATATTTGGAGAATTCAGTTAGGCTGCCAATGTGACGAGCTGCATATGCGATGCTTGCACATTCTTAAGTCTATGAGACAAGGTAAATTTAGAGAAACATGTCCGTCATCCTTCCCTGCCTTTCAGCCAGCGGATACGGTGCATGGGGCTTGGAATGCCGCCTGGTGTGGACCCGCAGTGATCCTTTCGCGACATGGCTGTAGTTGAAACCTGAGTGAGTGTTTTGCTTTTTGTGCGTTTGGAAGCTTGAGCGACAGTTTTTTCGAGTGCGCTCTAACGTCGACCCATCATGAAACCTTCGTGTTAACAAAACTATTTTGATAATAAGTATTAATAAGGTATTATTATTATTATTATTATTATTATTATTATTATTATTATTATTATTATTATTATTATTATTATTATTATTATTATTATTATTATTATTATTATTATTATTAATGAATATCCCTCAGATATTCAATTCTTTACCTTCCGAATTCTTCGACTTCACATCCAAAAAGAAATTGAAAAAAGCGCTTCGCCACCTTTTATCTACCAACGAGGCCCTTTATTTCCATCACAATTTTATTTCACAATCCCTTTTCAGTTCTATAAAGAATGTTGAACACCAGATTTTTATTATATTTATTTTATTTGGTTTATGTTTGAGCAAATCAACACGACTTACACCACCGAGTCTTTCTGCTTCAAGAACCACAACACCAAGAACATAACATCTATCAAGACCTTCTTCATTGGTGACAATGACCGGCTTGCTTGTTTGTGGATATGTGTAGGTGTGTGTATACGTGCTTTCCCTTGAGTCTAAGTGTAATAAGTGTCACAAATGTTATTGGAACTTACTCAAACTTTTTTTTTAGTACGTGGCATAGTTATTTTTGAGGCCACTGCAGATAGGTTCAGTCATACAAGCCCTGGATGGCTTTGATGAACCTGACTTGTGACGTGGACATGCTAGTTTTATTAAATAAATGTATTATTATTATTATTATTATTATTATTATTATTATTATTATTATTATTATTATTATTATTATTATGTGTTTGGAGGTGTCGGTGGGTCAGAATTAAGAACGCAGTTATTCCTGTGCACCCAATAAATATTGACTGATTATTATAAATATTAATATTATTACTGAGCCAAAAACGCGAACGTCGTCAACAAGCATTAGGGCTGACAATATTTTCAAGATGCCGCTGTAAAACAAACGCAAAAGCAAACTTTAATCTGCTAATGCAAAAGGCAACATTTAAAATATGTGTATATATAGGAGTGTCTTCTAAATACACTAAACTTTTGCTTTAAATGTTATAATTTTGTGTTTACCTATGCGAATTTTACTTTTCAATTGCCGTACCTACGATGGGCTATATACCTAAAAGTGGAGGGCATAAGGCCCGAGCAAAAACTACTCAGACGCCACGCGGTTTCTAATTCCGACGTGCCTACCGGTGTGCGGAGGCACGCACACTGTCGCAGACGCCAGAGCAACACAAAACCTGATTTGTAACTGACTTGTGCTTGGAACCTTGCAATCCGTAGCTTTGGCTGAGAACCATTGTAGTGCCAGGCGTAGTATGGAAACCTTGTGCCTTCTTTACCAGAGCCGTGTATAGAGAGAGTTTGGTCAATGGGAGGCGCGGGCAGAGCCAGGCCGTGCACTAAACGCAGAAAGCGGGCTTGGCATGCTCTCTTCGCCAACCAGAAGCCGAAAAGAATCCCCTAGCGGTGGTAGCGAGAAACAGTTTTAATCGTTTCAATAAGCGCGTAAGAGTTAAATGTAGTAACCCTTCATGGTTGAAAATGCGGTGCATGTGGTGTTTCGATTATGATTATGCAGAAAGGTGTAAGAAACGAATGTGCCGCTCAAGTTTGTTTTGCTTGGACAGAGTGTGACCGCTCGGACGGCATATTTCCGGCCCCCCAACACTTCGCGTACTGATTATGTCGATCGTTCCGCTAGTCGCACCTTTCCGCCATGATTTTTGATGACCGTGATTGATACATCACGTGCAGCATATTTTCAGTCACCGAGAGTTACTCCGAGGCACTTATTAAGTTTGTTTCTTGCGACCACCACTAGGGTATTGTTTCCGGCTTCTGGTTAGCCAGATTAGAATTCGTGAAGACGCCCTGGAACACGCCAAACCAGCTTTGGGCCAATGGCACCTCTCATTTGTCTCCTATACTTCCCAACAAATGGCCAAACTCTCTACAGATACAACGTTGGTCTTTACGCCTTTTTTTATCGCTCCCTTGAAATCGCAGGACTACGCTAGCGCTCCCGATCTACCATGTTTTTTTACTTTCTAACCCAAGTCCCCTTGTAATAAAATGTAGCAAAGTTTTTTTTTTCGGTACATTTTTTATAGCACGCAACCCCCCCCCCCCCCCTTTCAGAAAAAGAAATCTCTTTCCAAATGTCCTTTGGCTGAATGACGCTTCACACATTCCAAATTACTTTACCATAAGAATACATTCTCCTCTACACATTTGCATTAGACAGCGCGCTTTTAGCACCGAATCCTCCCCTAGCGGCGTGAGCACTCCGACGAACGCGCATCCACGCTATTGTACTTTCCCGCTGTGCCTAGTGAGAGGGCTGCCGTCGGCACATCGAGATCCCGGATTCCAAGACATCGGCACGAGTGCCACTGAAAATACCTCGCACGCCTCACTGCTTTTTGACGTAAGCCTTCTAAATCATTTCAGAGGTTTCTGTTTTAGATTTGCCAAGTTTGACGTAAAAGTGATGTTCGCCCTCGCTTTGGTTTGAACTCTATGGAAAGATCGCCCTTATGTTCGTGTACATGGTCAGACGAACCCGTGTTGCGCAGCTACAAATTTTCACAGACGACGCTTTTTGGTATAACGAGACACAAAGGTCCCTTCCTTCGACTGCTGCGTGCGTACCACTGTGCTGCCATCTTTTTTACGCTAGAAAATCAGCCCAGGAACTTTTTGATCACACCTCGTATGTGTTGGAGCCTTCCACTGCGCTCTGACTTATAATGAAATACCGTATGGTAGCACATTTAAACTTCCAACTTTCTAGTTCTTTTTTGTATTTTTTTTGTGCAAAACTTTTATGGTTTCCAAAGAGGGCACACTTTTGGAACCGGTTTATAGACCCTCTCTGAAATTCAGTCTGTTCCAGTTCAACCACCATCATGATCTGAGTGTACATACATGCAATGGCGACTTTCTCATGGCGGATGAAGAAATAGGCTGAAAACGTGCACCGAAGCTGTCAGCACGAAGCATGTCCTTCGAGACTACCGGTGCGCGCCGGAAGTCTCGGATTTCATGCACAAAGCTTGTGCATTATAGATGTTACCAGATTGCGGTTCCTAAATAGACATTTTGGTAAATTAATATGCTTGCTACGAGTATGCATCCTGGAACCCGTCCCCGTCTGGTGTTTTTTTAGCGTCGTATCTCGCCCATGATCAAATGTGGTCCAGAAGTGGCAACAAATGACGTCACAGGCTGTGTTCCTAATCTTACTCAGCTGGATCCAAGTTACTCCGGTGGGTCGTGTCACGTGACAGCACAGATTGAAAAGTGCTAGAAGGGGGTAGGTTTTGGAAAGCCGAGGTACAAAACCCTTACCCTGGAGTAAGATCGAATAAATATTGGAACACGGCCACCGAAGCAGCCGGAGTATCGTGCTCTCGGATATGGCGATCCTGGCGGCTAATCGTAGAAATGCTGCCGAAAATCACGAGCGAACGAAAGTGTCGCTGTCGTCGCGGCATCCAAAATTCTAGCTGACGAAACTTCCGTGGTCTGTTTGTTACCCTGGAGATCGACCTGCAGCAGAACAGGCGTCTGCCACACACAACACCGCTGCTGAGACACGGCCAGGATCGCGAACGGCGACAGCATGAAACTTCTATGATGTCATTACGCGGAAATCGAGGGAGCACCTTTTTTTGGACACGGTAAACATACCAGTCGTAGACGCTTTCCAGGTACCATACTACGAGCGGAGTTACATGCGCTGCACGTGCTGTCGTTTGCAGCAGTGACTGTTCTAAAGCAAAAGTCCAAAACAAATGTCATCTTGCACACGCGTTCATCAACGTATTGGTTGGGTTATTTACTTCGAATCTTTTTATACCGAGAAGGCGAGCGCGTACGGCGCGTAGATATACATTTCTGGCAATCTCGTTGATGCTTGGGTAATTTAGCAATAGGTTTTTGCGGAGCGCAAGTTCATCTGCTTCTTGCACAGGGGTAGCGAGGATGCCAGAACGCCGAGCTCTGAATGGCTGATTGAAAAAGATAATGGGCATTTAGATTTGAGGTCTACCCACTATCCTTTCAATCAAAGCCAATCAGAGCTCTGCGTCGTTCTGACGTTACCGCAACTGCTGCGCAAGAAATAGACGAATTGCCCTCCGCATTGAGGTCATCTTACATTTGGCGGACACTTGATCCACAAAAGCTTCTTGATGTGGTGAGTTTTATGGGTTATTTTACCAGGGTCAACGTTTCTTAGAGTTCGGTAGTTCTTTTGTTTCCATCAAGAATTAAATGGCCAAAAACATATGTTTGGTGAAAAACGCATATCTGCCCCTGTCTGCCAATGACTAAAAAAATTGACGGTGCCCGATAAAATACTTCGTGTTCGTCGACGTTAGCCTGCGGAAAGTTGCGCTCATGTGTGAGCCACTAGACAGTACTAAAGTCGCTGGATCCCGAGCGTTATTGCCTTCCCTGCCTGCTAGATGGTCGCAAACATATACTAACATACAGACGACCAAACCTCGCAAAGTGATTGGCTGATCAGTATGAGTTGCCATAGCAATCGCCATTATTTAAATCATCGAAGCTCAGAAAGGGCCGTCCTGAACTTCTGAACCAGTCGGTGCAAGATCGCTATGGAGCATCATCGTACTAAAAGCGTTCCTCGCCATTATAAACATATTTGACACTGCGCATGCACTCCACTTATTAATCATGTTTAGCTCCGCATATCTCTCACAATGTTTTTGTTGTTCTTACGTATTTGAATGCGAGAGATGTATGTCTCAATGCCGCCAAGCCCTGACACTGCATGTGGCGGTAGTGCCTGTTTCGCTAGTGCATGCATAAGAAAAATTTCGGTATTCAAAAAATGTCTTTATAAAACAACCTGCCACCGGGAATTTGAATCGGCTCACCGAGAATCGAGAGGTGAAGAAACAGCTCATTCCATGAAAAAAAAAAAAAAGTCAATTGCCATGTGCCAGAATCCAGTAACATTCGATAGCGCTTAATTTGTGAAAAGAGTGTATTCTTCCGCCAACTCCATTGTCACCCTCCATAGCTCCGGTACGCACCCTGCTTGTGGTCCGCGGTAGAGTAGAGGGCGACCCAGGGTACCCCAGGGCCCAGGCACTCGAGCACGTAGTAGTCGGCGCCGCCCGGCGAGAACACGGCATTGTTGTAGAGGCACTGGTCACCCAGCTCGCACGTCAGGCACTCCGGCTGCACCCCGGGCTCGTCCAGGGGCACCCGGTACACGTGCGACTCCCCGGGTCGGCCCTCCCTCGTGCTCCGGAACATCCTGCGTCCGTCAAAGATAAAGGAGTCCGCATCATTCGGGGGAGCCTGTTCCGTGGAGGGCGCATCTCCACTCTCGCCGCATTGTGGAGACGAATAAGGGACATGTACGAGGGGCATTTGAGAGATGAGGTCTCGCAATCGTTTTCACTAGAATGTGAGCGGGTAGAAGTATGAGAGACATCTTACAATATGCGTGATTTTATTGGCAGTGAGCGCAAAACTCAGGCACAACGTAAATAAATTGAAATGCTGATGGCGCACCTGGCCACAAGAATGTTGCAGACACAAAGAAAACGACGATCACCATCGGAGACCAGCACGTACCAATATATTTTGTGCCTCTGGGTGAAATCAGGCGATTTTGTCGCACGATAATCATAAAGAGTGGCTTCATTTAATTCCTTGTAACAATGAACGAGATATAAATGATGTTTTTTAATCCTGAAACCATATGACTGCACGACAATGGAGGTACTGAGACACCCGATACAGAAGAGGTTTTGCGTTACCACCGGTACGGAGAAAATGGGGGTTGGTATGCTCTTAGGCATTTCCACCCACTGCATCCTGAACAGAGCAATGGCGACGGCTGCTTCCTGCGGAGACACTATGAAAATTTGTTTTAGGTAAAAGATTGTCCGAGAGCTGCACGAGAACGCTCCGTCTCATCGAGAGACGCGTACTCAATCACTTTCTTTATGAAAACTACCTTCTACTGGTTCCTCAAGTTCCCTGGCCCCTTAACCTTGCGCCCAACAATTTTTGGCTGTTTTCGACCATCAAAGACGCAAACCGTGGTTGGTTGTTTTAGAGCGCAGCTCTTAGGCGCCCGTTTCCGGCTTGAGCGGCGTCGCCGTCGCCGTCAACGTAACCGCGCGTTGCATGCAACTTAGGTTGCATGCAACCCGCGGTGCATACAACCTGCCGGCATCGGTGTAACCACGCGATGTGTGCAACCCAGGTTGCATTTAGTCCAAGTTGCATGCGACCCGCGTTGCATGCAACCCGCCGGAGTCGCCGGGTGGCAAGCAACCCGGCGACGCCCCCAGGTCACGTGACCGGGGGGCGTAATCAGGAATATTTTTAGGGAACTGGGAAGGGAGACAGATGGTTGGGATGCCCAGGACAAGAGGAACTTTAAGGGCGTAATGTAGTTGTGTATCAAAGAGTCGGCTGGATTTCGGGAGAAAGGTGATGGTAAAACGTCACTGAGGGGGGTCACATGACCTCGGGGAACGGTCACGTGACCTTCTACTCACGTGACCTAGGCTAATCACGTGCAATCCGCCGGAGTCGCCGGGTTGCAGCCCGGGGGGGGGGGTCATGTGACCCCCCCCCCCCCTGAGGTCACGTGACCCCCCAAGTCAGGTGACGCCCCGAGGTCACGTGACCGTTCCCCGAGGTCATGTGACCCCCCTCAGTGACGTTTTACCATTACCTTTCTCCCGAAATCCAGCCGACTCTTTGATATACAACTACATTACGTCCTTAAAGTTCCTCTAGTCCTGGGCATGCCAACCATCTCAGTATCCCTTCCCAGTTCCCTAAAAATATTCCTGATTACGCCATTGAGACACCCTAAACATGATGAGATAAAACTGACCCCCCCCCCCCCCGAGGTCACGTGACCCCCCAAGTCAGGTGACGCCCCGAGGTCACGTGAGCGTTCCCCGCGGTCATGTGACCCCCCTCAGTGACGTTTTACCATTACCTTTCTCCCGAAATCCAGCCGACTCTTTGATATACAACTACATTACGTCCTTAAAGTTCCTCTAGTCCTGGGCATGCCAACCATCTCAGTATCCCTTCCCAGTTCCCTAAAGATATTCCTGATTACGCCATTGAGACACCCTAAACATGATGAGATAAAACAGCGCAAAATGGTACAAAAGGAAGAGACAATCAGGACAGGACCGAGCGCTCTGTCCTGTCCGGTTTGTTTCTTCCTTTTGTATTATTTTGCGCTGTTTTATCTCATCATGCTTAACAACTATTTACTAACCCAGTTCTCAACCTTATTACAGACAGCCTAAAATCCAAACACGTCACAACAATTAGTTATGGAAAAATACGTCAGCACGTCGCTTATAAAAAAAAAGTCACATGTTTCTTTATAGTGCTTTATGGAGTCTGGACGATAATGCGACTAAGTACGGCCACTATGAATCCGGTGCTCGATTACCACTAGTCGTTGAGACAAAAATTCTCCAACGGTAATTGACATCAACATAGACATGGTTAAACATTCATTCTTTTAACTTATTACATTATAAGGCAAAAAGGTTTTGCAGATTATGCATTATCGTTTTCCAGAAGTTCATTGAGCGAACTTTAGAAAAAAAAGGAATTTAAGACCATAATTTTTTTAATTGCCGCACAAATCTTGCATAGTTTTAACTTTCTCGATATTAATAAAAATTCTAAGCAGAATGCAAAAAAGAAAAACATTTGCAATTGTAGAACGTTAAATATTTTGTCAAAAATGCAAAAAGCATGAAATTCGCTGTAAAAACGTTTCAGCTTATGAACTTACTTTTGTCTTAAAAATTCGCCGAAAATGCCTTAGTATAATATAGTCGCGCAAGAAACAAAGTTTGTTATTTCATTCTCTTTAACTATAAGCTTATACAAAAAAATTTACACGATTTATTGAGATAAAATTTGCGTGTGCTACTCATAAAATCTTTGCGCTGAAGTAAGTTGTATTTTGTATTCCTGCTGTCTTGGAGTCTGCGTTTACGTGCAGTTGGGAAAGTCGTAGACCGACCTCCTCTCAGACACGACTTTTTCTCACAAAAACAAGAAAGTGCCTCGCAAAATTAAGGTTCATTCCGTTGTGGTGGCATGTTTTGATACTTTATATGACAATTTAATTCGAGCGAAAAAAAATAGGCATAGCAGCCCTATGACTATCCTTACATAAAAACACATCGGAACCCTCCATGGGCTTTGCCTTTCTCGTGCCATAGCATCCTATATACTGACGAAGCCTGGCAGATCGCCACGAGAAGCGGCCACCGAATTGAAAAAGGCAGACAAAGGATGAGAGGAGAGCCACGTGACTGGCGCCCCGCTGCGGCGAGGCGCCGAAACGCACTTTTCCCGAGCGAACAAGTGTGTTTCGGGTCCTCGCCGCTGCAAAAGCTTTGCGCTGACGTCCAGGTTCCGCAAGAAATAGCTCTTTGATGCTCTGTGCTAGCAGATCCTCGCGCTCCAGATCTGCGACGGGGCAGTCAATGGCTCCGTCGTCAAACTGCCCGGCTTTGTGAGTCTAGAGGAGGCTACTCTGGTCGTACCGTAAAGGGGAGGGGATTGTTGGCTTACTCACACGTGCTTAGAGCGGGCGTGGTAAGCGAGCAGGCCGAGCGTGTCGTACGGCCCGTGGGTGAGGAAGGTCTTGCGGCGGTCCCTGAACTCTGCCACGTGTCGGAAGCTTCCCCGCTGGGCGTCCTGCACGGGCAGCCGTAGGAAGAAGGCGCCCTGGGGCGCGTCTGCGACGACGGGAGGCTCGCTGAGCTCGATCCAGCCGCCCGAGACCGCCTCCTGGGCCTGCTTGGCACAGGCCCAGGCAGAGGCGGCCTCCCGGCACACCGACAACAGCGTCCAGTTCTGCGTCCGAGACAGCCAGTTCACCAGCAGCGACTCTTCGTCCAGGAACGACACCAGCGTCACGTAGTACCTGCGACAGCTTTCTCTTAGATGCTTTTCCTGCGATTAGCTGCCTGCGCAGCGTCTGATATTCTCAAACACCGCGCACGCATCAGTACCTAGCTTCATTTTTTTTTTGTAACAAAGTAACGACCTAGTGACATTTTTTAGAGAAGGAACAGGTAAGGGCATTTAGTTACTTCTGGAGGGGAACAACACAAGTACCCAAACTATAGCTCTCGCCCCGGCTCACCCAATGAAAGATAAGCCGTTAAGGGTTACCTTAACAAAAATAGTTGGTTACCGCACTTCTGAACAAATTGACCAATAATGAGGTCACAAACGACAGGGGCAGTGCAGTCAAGAACCGAGAAAACGAAACGTTTAATATGGACCACCTGCACTCTAAACAAATCCGTTTTTGAAAGGTTCTTCGACGTCTCAAAAACGTTTTCAGCTCATGAAGAACGGTTTCATCTCATGCACCATCCCCCTGGCGCACTAGAAAGGCAACTGGCGATGAAGTACTCTTTCACACAAAAAAGGTGCTTAAAAAAACCCCGTATAGGTTTTTCACAAGGAACCATTTTAGCGGGTGCTCAAAATAACTTTTTAGGGCGCAAAATATTGCAGCGCGAGTAGCTCACCAAGGAGACAGCGCGGCCGTGGCCTAACGCTTATCGTGCTTGCCTCCCACGTGAAGAGCCAAGGTTCGATTCCCGGGAGTTACGCTTCCTTTTATTTAGTCTTGTAGTTTGATGTTCTCGTGAATTCGAGAACTCGGTTGCTTGTTCGAGGTACGAATGTTCTAGTCGCCGAACCTTCCAGGTCGATTGTTCCAGAAGCCAGCGCGTGTACATAAGAAGCTCCGCGTGGCGATCTGCAGTCAGTCTCGCCCCAGCGTTCGACTCTGCTGTTACGCCGACTTCGGCGCCCGCGACGCTCTCCTGTTATCTTTTGTTTCCTTCTCATTTTTTGGGCACAAGTTCGCCACATTAAACGTTTATTTCTTCCTGTTTATTTACTGTTTTTTTGGTCACCACCCGTGACAATATAATTAGCCAAATAACCACTAAAAGGTATTTTAAAGACCATATATTGTTTAGTGTGTGTGCCAGGTATACAGAATACAAAAAATTAAATTATTACACCCAAGACTGCTGATGTGTAGGAATCGTTGATCATTTGCACGCCTTCTCGCGCGAACAAAACCATAGATGAAGCCACGCGCTCGCGCCAGTAGCTTTGACAGCGTTGCACGCTAAGTATGAAACAGAGTATAGTGGACGACGTCTAGGACGCCCTCGAGAACGGCGCCTATACACGTTTGCAAGTCCGGCTTCAGGGCGCTGCCATCTTGCCTGTCTGGGGTGCGCTTGAACCAGTCATAATCCGATTACGAAGCCTTGCTAAGGCGTCGTAATCGGATTATGGCCGCTCCCGAGAGCGCACCCCACTGAGGAAGATGGCGGCGCCCTGAGACCGGACTTGCAAACGTGTATAGGAGGGCACTTAAGGATTCTGCGGCGTATTAGGGGCGAAGCTCCTTAGGGTCTAGCCTTGTCCGTCCGGCGTCCGTGCTCACATCGATCTTGCTGATGCTCGTGCTCATGAGCTCACGTGCTCACGAGCACGTGAGCACCTGCTCACGTGCTCGTGTAGGGCAAAAAAAAAAGTAATAAAAAAAATGATGAAAAAAAATGTTTGCGCAGTCGACAAGATCCGAACCTGTGCGGGAGACCCCAATGGATTTCTAGTCCATCGCCTTAACCACTCGGCCACGACTGCGGGACGAGTAGGGGGCTCTGAGCAGTGGTAGTAACTCAAGAGCTGGGGATGTCATGGATGAAACGTTGCATGTAGCCGCTCAACGTCTATACAGGAGAGGGCGCTGCGGTCAAATGCGTATATAATCGCGTTAAACTTTGCGTGCATTGGCTCAGTGTTTATAGACGAGAAGGCGCTGCGGTCAAATGCTCAAATGCCTATATAACCACGTTCCATACCACACGTTCTCTTTCTGACATGGATGAAAACGAACGAAAGACTCGGCATGTTGCGGCTCAGCGTCTACGCAGACAAGCACCACCAGAGCTTCGCCCCAATCAACATCATTCACCACGTGGAGATGCGGTCAATTTTTTGTGAGGACGGCCCCGTTTGCCTGCGGAAGCCGCAGTAGATGTTGACACTGCTGCCGATGTCGAGGCCGTAGATGTAGACTCGGCCGCCTCACAGTCCATCGCACGAAGCACACAACGATCACAGATGATGTTCGAAGCGCACCTTTTGCACACGGTGCTCCGTCGGTGACATCACGCTGATGACGTATGATGAAGCTTGATGACATCACGCTGATGACGTTTGATGACGTATTTTTATGGCCATCTTTCGGTCACAATGTTGATGGACGTCGTTTGTTTTTAACGTGCTGTGAAAAGTGAGGTCGTTCTAAAAGTCGTCCGAGACTTCTAGGACGACCGCAAGGGCAAGGGTCGTCCTTAAGCATACGATTGAGCGGCGCGTGCCCCTAAATCACATTTTTATGGCCATTTACTCCGATTTGTCGCTCAATGAGACAGGTAAGGCCTTCACCTTAATAACTGGAGTCGTAGTCGACGGTGTCGGCGGGACAGCAGGATGAAACGGTGGCGGAAATCTGACCTGACGCAGCACGCTACGGTGTTTTTGAGGCAGGGTGTAATAGTGAAGAGCTCCCGCCCGCTACCGCGGCGCACACTTCCGGTCGTGATACCGCTCTAGGTAGTAGTCTACGGTAAGGCTATAGTCACTAAACAAGCTACGCGTCAGTGTAATAACACTTACCCACCTTGGGTAAGTGTTACTTGTTTACCCATCTTGGGTGAGCGAGTAACGACATTTATCCATCTTGGGGCTTAAAATCATGGCTGCAAGTTATCTGAAACTTTTCCTGAAATCACCAAAAACGCTTTTCTGCCCTCCACAAAAGCTTAAACCGTTCGTGACATAGCAAAGCAATATTACACGAGCTTCCTAACACCGAATTTAATGCTGAGGAGGTCGAACTTTTGAATCACGACGATCGGCAGTTAGGTCTACTCTGCAGTAAGCACCAAGACGGCGTCGCCCACAACAATGCCGGGTAACAGACTGCCCATAATCTAAGCGTAGCTCATTTAGTGGATCTAGGTGAGGCTATGCTAACACTACCTATTGTCTGAATACGAGTTTGGACAAAAACACGGAATAACCGATGAGATTGACCTGGAACGTTCCAGAAATTCCGCGAAAATTAAAAGTGAAAAACCTGCAGTGCGGGGATCGAACACCGCACTTCTGCGTGTGAGCCGCGCGCTTAGCGAATTCGGCCATGCACGCGGCCATATAGACACTAAAGATGCGGAAATGTGCTTTCATACGAATGCCGTGGCGGTTTGGGTATGAAAGAGTCGATGTGGGCAGGGGACAGGTATGTATTTCGATTTTCAGCGAATAGTCAATAGGAGGTCAATATACACAGAAGGAAGAAGGAACTTATGTGTGCGTGTGTGTGTGTGGGGGGGGGGGGGGGGTGGAGGGGGTTGTCAGAGCTTTACCGGAGACTAACTTGTAAACGCTCCTTGAGAGCAGGGCTACAGGAATACATTTTATGAAAAAGACGGGATATATTTTGCTACGTCAAGAAAGGAAAATAAATAGGTTGGCTTTCGGGACGAGACACTGACCGTGCGATATTATGTAAGTTCCGCACCGCGAGGTTGGATGTTCCCGAGGTTGGACACGAGTATCGTGCGACCGGGATTTTAGATTGATGCAGCGTATTTTCGTTTTGTGCTTAGGGTCCTATATAAAAATACTTTTAGTAGCTCAGAAGGTAACTTAAAATTTTGTCATAGGTACTCGGGCATAAAGCGGGCTTTAGCACTGATGCGATCAACGCGAATTTGCAATGGTAAAGGTGACACAAATACTAATATGTTCATAAGAAGTCATGACCTGTAAGGGGGCGGTGCATAGATAGTATGATGTTCGAAGGTTTTACCGAAAGATTTACGAAAGCAACGTCGGGAAAATGAAAACTAATAAATACAACTTACAATTTGCGAGTAACTAATATACTACACATGTTTAGGGTGTAGTAACGAAAGAGTGTATTTATGAGCATTATGCTCATCCCCTTATTTATGAAGCAAAATTCCCTTCCCTTTTTTCAATCATTGGGAGGAGTGCCAAAGATGAACCAATGACCCTTGCGATGGATGACTCACATCCCCATTTGTGATGCAGACATCGATGAAATGCATCTATAGTCGGCGGCAGGTCAAAACCCGCGTAGAGGCTCTGACTTCAGCACGCGCTCATTGCCTTCCTCCAGATTCTGGCAGCGCGCACGAGACGGAGCATCCACTGGGATCTTAACCGTTCATCCACGACAGTGGGAACTACAGTAATAAACTAACTAAAAAAAATAAGAAAATAAAACGTACTGTGAATGTGGGGGGAGGGGGGGTGTCCGGCTGCATTTTTTTATAGGACGGAAAGGTGTTTATGGCCTAGCTTGTGCATCGTCAGCAACACTAAAAGCGCCAGGGAACAAGGGTACGAACAGTAGACTGGTCGCCTCCTTTTTACTATTAGTTATGTTTTCGTAGCTTTACTCCCACAAAAAACAACACAAAATGGCAATAAATACAGTGATTTCCGTACGCATTATATGTGATCACTGTATGAAATGTTTTCTTGGCGTTTTTAGCATTCTTGCTCGTTCGTAGTTTTAATGCCTTCTTTTTTTTTTCGCAAACAACACAGCCACAGGGGCGCAAGCATGGCAAACGCACGTTGTAAGACAAACGTGTTTTTTTGTTTTGTTTTTTTTTACGCTTCGCATTAATACGACGGCAGTAGAAGCTTCGGAAGGAGGCTGTATTGGTGAATAATGCTGGGATCGGCCGAACTCCTTTTTGTTTGTCGGTGAGCGGTGTTGTTTATTTTCTTTTCTCGTCGGACTAGGTCACAAAACAATCTAGAAGACCTTCGTCCAGCGAGAGCGAACATAGCAGCTCCCAGAGCTCGAGTGTGAGCGTGCGCCGTCTTGACGCGCGTTCTCACGTGTATTCTGAGCCACCCCGATAATAGCAGCGGCAGGCACAAAAACAGCTCTCTGCCCGAAACAAACAGAGGCAAAGAACGTCCCCGCTGAGCTATGTTTGGCCGCGTTGTCCCCCAAATAAGCTTACTTTCATTAGAACCTTTCGCAGGTCACCACTCTTGGCACCTTCCATGGCCAACATTCGTCAAATATTCGTTTTGCGAATGCTCATTGGGACTCTTTTTTTTAAAGTAATGATTATCGATGACTCCACGTACCGAAAGCTAACGTCTCAAAGGCTACGAAAATGTAAATTACAGGAATCGTGTTTCATTCAAAACTTATAGAAATGTAGTACATTACGAATCATAACCACAGTTACGTGCAATTATAAGTATTATTAAATCGCCGTTGCTAAAACTGGGTAAACAATCATCTTAACGAGAAATATGACGCGAAAAAGCCATGTTTTGCAACGTTTCATTGAGACAAGTTCATACTCCAGATGTTTCTACAAGCATGTAGTATCTAATATTTGAGGTTCTTCTAAACACCATGCACTGGTCCATCCGGTCAACACTGAATTCTGTCACATATATAGGGTGCAGATTTTTTAACTTCTAAATTCTGAGAAGTTAATCAAACAAGGCGGTGCGGTACAGAGTAACCGTATCAGAGAACCAGCCTGCGAGAAAGGATCTCGTGTTTAGACTTTGCTCCGTCAAGCAGGACGTTGTCTTCCCCACATTGCAAGTGTACCGACGGCGAAGCCAGCTTGCGGGGCGAGGCGCTCTGCGACAGCGCTGCCTTTCACTCTCGTGATGGGTGTAATACTCGTCACAAACGTGAAATGTAATTCACTCCGTGATGTTGCAGAGCGCCTCACCCATCATGTCTTATTTATTTATTTATACTTTATACTATATCTATCTATACTACTTTGTTTTGTAAAATACAGCAGCAGCATTTCGGCCGTTTTACACCTCCATCGTGTTTTATGTTTCGCGAGATACACGCGACCAGTAATCTCTGGACGGGATTGCGTAACTTCGAATTTGACGGCCACCGTGGGCCCACCACTGCAATGAGTGACAATACCAACACATGCACTACATCGGCCAGTGACCAGGGCCTGAAGCGGCTGCGGAGACTTTCGGTTTGCTGCTGGGGTCTGTTCCTTCGCCCGATCTGCCTGTCTTGGATTGGATTGTGGCGCCTTAACCTTTTGTAACGGGCGACCACGGTATGGAAACTATAGATGTCGCATACCTGCTGGCGTTCGAGTTCGACCAGGCTCTACGTTTTTGAACTTTCAAGGTAAAGTTCAACAAAAGTTAGACTGAAATTCTGATGTCACCACCTGGTGGAGGGGGGCATAGCATTCGTGGGATATATTGTTTTAGATTAGCGCAATCATGGGTCGGCAACCTTTCGCAGCGGCTGGCCGAGTCGTCACGAAGCCGACACGGAGGGGGGCGGACGTCGAAGAAAAGGCAAAAAGGAAGTGGAGATGTTCTCTGCCTAAGTATGGAGATCATCATCATCATTATCATTTATTAAAGCTTGAAGGCGCTTACAAGGTGGGGGGTACTCGCTGAATAAACATTAAAAAAAGGAACAAACAAAAAGTGGGTTACATGAAGGACAATACCAATTCGAACTGCTTCTTGTTCCGCTCTAACCAGATTTGAGGTCAAGACCGCCGTGTGGCCCTCGAGCCTGTGTGAGGGGGGCTGCGTAAAGGCCGGTTCTCACATGCAGCGAAGCGCTGATGTAGCGCTACTCACGTGTCGTCGGCTACTTATCGTCTGCCATGAGCAACAGTTTTGACGGTGCGATACAACGCAGGTAAACGCTACCGTGAGCACGCGCTTAGCGCGAGGTCAGCGCTATGTTTGTAGCGCTCCGCTGTATGTGTGAACAGGCCTTAAAACTGCCTCGCGGGCCTCGGGTTGCCGACCCCTGCTCTAGGCAATTAAGATACATTATGACTACTTTGATATTTTGTACATATTGATAATTCTTGTTTTTATTTAGGGCGTGCTGTTCTATAAGTTATTTTTGACAAAAAGCTTAAAATATTTCTGCTACAGAAGTCGAGAAAAATTGTTCAAGAAGTCAAACTTCTGATTTTCTCAAAATTTCGAAGGTTCACTTGAATTGAATTGAATTGGTTTTATTTAGACACTAGAGCTAGGGTAACAGGGCAAAAGGCAGATTAATTCTGCCTGACATGGCTCTATCACCCGTTCGACGGGTTCGGCAAACCTGAGGTTCGCCGAACTCTTCGAACCTCAGGTTTGGGAGAAGTTCGCGACATCCATAATATAAACTGGAGTGGTTCCTGGATGAATGGATATCAACTGCGGTACTTTTTATAACGGGCGATAGATCGCGCCCGTAGCTTAAGCAAAAATAAGGAAAAGCCACTGTGTGCCAGCGAGCATACAGAAGAGCACACTGACTCTTTCGTTTTGTCCAGCAACTCCTGCGGCGGCTGCACCAGCTTGGAGACGGGGGCCCCCGCGCCGTCGGCCGAGGCCAGGCTCACGACCCGGAGCTCAACGAGCGGGTTGGGCGAGCCGGCCTTGGGGTAGCGCAGCTCGTGGGTCTCGGGGTACTGGCCCCGGTACACCGGCAGCGAGATGGTCTTGACGCCGCTGTCGTTGAAGGTGGCGTAGCAGAGGCTGCGGCCCCGCGGAGACCACCAGAGCGCCGACGAGGAGGCCAGCACCTCTTCCTCGTAGAGCCAGTCGGCGATGCCGTTGAAAACCACGCCGGGCACGCCGCTGTCCGTGAGCCGGACGGGCGACGACTCGCCCACGCTCGGGATCAGGTACAGGTCGTTGTTGAACACGTACACCTGCGCGCGGGTGGGGCCGAGAAGAAGGCGTCATGTTAGGCGGCAAAACGAGCGCGTTCAAGAGCCGGCTTGAATGCGCCCGCCACTACCGGCTTCGCCTGACCAAAATAAAACCTGTTTTTTTTTTTATCGGTCAGAAGAAATAAACAACGCAGTACAGAAAGCTGTAATTCAATCAAACTATGATGCTAGTGGTAGGGATAGGATGCGAAAATTTATCATGTTATCTGGAACAAAAGATATAGGAGAAAGACGAAATGTTTCTACGCGCCGACGTCGACTTAAGCGTAATTTCGTCATAAAGGAAATGCCACTGTGGCCGGCTATGGCAGTCGTTTTGATAAAAACATTTGTTTTTCAGCAAGAAAGACGATATTCCTGTCTTCCTTGCTGACAATTTTGTTTTACTCAAATGAATACCGCAGGCGCGCACAATGTCATTTATTGTTTTGACTAAATTAGGTTTCAGTGGACGTTGACTACTCGTAAAGAACTTCTTCCATTTCCTTTGATATTTTGTTGCGGTAACGTCGTGTCCTCAAGCTTTCGCATCCTAGCCCAACCACTAGAATCATAATCTCATGGAGTTTCAGATATTTGAAATGCGTAGTTTATTTATGCGAGCCGATTTCCTGGCTTCGAAGTTCTCGATCAAACTTCGCAAATTTTAAGAAAGATGTCTAACAGTTCCTTTAATCAGAGAGCCCCACGTTTCGATTCTTAAGCTCTGAGAATGTAGGGCTTGATTGTACTTTTTTCTTTAAATTTTGTGTCCCAAACAAGACACATTTGTATAAAATGGTCACGTTAAATGTAATAACAATTCTTAAGTAAAAAAAAATTAAAATTATTTTACAATACTGAGGGAAGCTCTGGGCGGCTGCCGTGTGCTTGCGCGCCTGAACTAAAACTACGCATGTGCATTTCTGACTTATTCGAGATTATCAGAGGCACCTGTCCCAGAGTATAAAGTAGTAGTCACGCGCAAGAGATGCAGGAGATGCAGAGACACCACTTCAAAAGTTTGCGAGAAGCAGTAACAACATTATTCAGGAAAAAAAACAAAAACGATGTGCGTTTTTTGTTGCTTGAAACAATTGCTGAGATTAAAGTTACGTTTCTTTCAGAAATCTGTCAATGATCTACTGTACTACTCGCGAAAGCCAAGTAGGAGTAATTGGGACAGAATAAGAATAGACCTGCTGTAAAATCATCGATAGACCTTTTCTTAAATTTCGCCAGGCCTGTGGGTGATCACACATTGCACGAGCGGCGTTGGCAACTGTAAGGTTTTTTCGACGTACGCTTGGTCCGACATGTACGCTCCACACACACTGGAAGCGGCGTGGTCTTCCCTCTCTCGCAATTGTGAGCCCAGGACGAACACAGAACAATGTCGATGCCTACCTTGTTGTTTTATCGTACTGCCTGTTTTGCGTTCCAATATCTAAAAACACTAAACCAACGTGAAGCTCTTCGTCTATTCGCGAGTACTCCTTTCCGCCCTTCGTATCAGGTTGGCGTAATGCGTCAAGGAGACGGGGCGTGCTGCATATTTTCCGGGATGGTCGATGGGTAAAACAAGAAAGGCGCGTTTTGAGAGGCTTGATGCGAACGCGTGTTGGCCGCGCTGGTGCGTCCCGTCCCAGAAGCACCGTTTGCTCGAGGGCTCCTCGCAAACGCGCGAATGCGCCGAGAAGACAAGACACCACGTTTGCCTCTGCGCGTTCTTGGACTTACGAGGGAAGTCTTCCGAGCGAAAGAAAGCTGTACACGACGCCTTTCTTGCCGTTGTCGTGCTGCCTGTCTCATATAGCTATTCGGGCAAACGTTTCGGAAGAAAGAGATAAGTGAAGCGTTGGAAACGTTGAACGAAAGGTAAAGGAAAGGATAGACGTGCGAAATGGAACGAACGAAAGAAAGTTGAGATGGAGACACAGAGAGACAGGAAACAAAAATGAGGAAGGGATACGAGCAAGAATAGTAAGAAGGGATAAAGGATTCAAGAGACAGAACGAGGAAGAAAGAATGGGGAGACAGTTTATACGCACCAGGTGGCTTCCCGTCCTGCCCCAGCCGGCGTACTGTAGTTCTTCTTGGTTCGAGCTGTGCTTCAGCGGAAACACTTCTCTGCGAAAAATCATGAAAAAACAAAACAAAACACCGCGCATGTCCCGTTAGAGTTGAGGAAATCTAAAAAATCAAAGCTGTCCCCCGGGTACAAAAAACAACAAAAATAAATGACGAGAAAGAAACAAAAGTAAGCAGCCGCTCTATCAAAGAAACACCAGTGTGTGGCCCCAAGGTTTTTTTTTTTTTTTTTTTTCGGAAAAAAAAGGTAGGGCTTCTTCCTTTTCGGGTCGATTAAGATTTGCACTTTTTGTCGAGGCGAATCGGGGCGGCGAGAAAGACCTGCTTATTCAATTCCCCGTTCGAAAACAAAAAAACAAAACAAAAGCGTTTCCCTGTTTTCCCATGCGTAGAATTCCGCGCTTGCACGAAAAGCTGAGGAATGCGACACGGCGCCGAACGAAGGCAGCTTCGGGGTTGACAACCGCACTAGTGTAACCTACGAGCGTGGACCACCTCTATAGTCTGCGTCTACTATTTCGTGCTACGTTGTCAAGACTAGCGCGGCCTGCGAAGAGCTCTAACACTGCCGAATCTACGTGTGCGAGCGCGGGGCTTCATAACGCGCATCCTTTGCAAGATAGCGCGTGCGAATGAAAGACAAGAAGAAGCTGGGCACTCTCGCAGCAGTGCGGCGCTGCAGCACTGTAAAGGTAACGGTAGCCTTGACAACGTAGCGCAAAATAGTTGACGCCAAGTATTGGCGACGTGAGCGATCGAAAACGTGGCTGCGGTCCGCGACGCTTTCGTAAGGAGAAGGTAAGTCGAGGAAATAATGAAGCAAAAATTTGCAAATCAATGCTGTTTTTGGTTTTTATTTTGAATCGAGAAAAAAATGCTTTACGAAAACCTTATTTGGCATCTTCGCGTTGCGGCTGGTAGACTTGATTGGACTCGAGTTAGTGCAACTATAACATATTAGTTAATAACAAAAAGTCACAAATATCTCATTTTGTCGCTATACCCGTGACAAAACAAAACAGCTAGTGGGACAAAAAATACACGTAAAAAAAATACAGATCAGTTGTCGCACTCGGAACATTTGAAGTCTACGCCGTGCACTAATTCCACACAAAACGGCAGCTGTTCTGATTCGTAATGTTTTGCACAACAGGCACTGGCAGTCACATTTGGCGCTCGTCACACGGTTTGCAGAACGCTTCGTGCTTTACCGCTGAAAGTACCAGCCACGCTCGAAGAAAGCGGTTTTGCCTTTCTCCTCTGCCCATTTCCAAAGTAGTCAAACGAGGCATTCCGTCGTCATTGATGAAAGCTTCTCTGATAAGTCGTGCAATCATGCTATGGGCGACAGCTTTTTTGATCAGGTGGGCCGCCTTAAATTAGTAGGCTATTCAAAACGTTTCTCGGGAAAAGTTGCAGAAACCCTCGTTTCAAAGTAGAAAGAAAGAAAGAGATAAGAAAGAGTAACCCATAAAAACCAAAACAATAAAGGGACCCATTCATAGACTGTCCCACAACTTCAAGAAGGTTGCCGCACACCTTGAAGTGCCTGTGGTGTTCTCTGCCCCGTCTAAATTGTCTATTGCTCAAGGTTCAACAACAAAACAGAAAAAAAAAACAGAGGCATGTTCTAAGAGCACGCAGCACAGCACGGTGATTGTGCAACGTCAATTGTCGATGAAACACCCATGACTTGCAATAGAGTGTACGGTGGGAAAACGGGAAGGTGTACAATATAAACGACAGGGCACGCGAGCATTCCCTATCTGTCAGAAGCTCCCCATCGGGAAAATCTCGCCATTCACTGTGATTGGTGCCCTTGTGTGCCTAATCTTGAAGATACGAAAATTTTAGGAAAACTTAAAAATAAAACTGGAAGAGACATATTTCAGGCGCATTGCATAAGAGTGAAGGGAGAGGATAGCTGCGTAAGTGCACCGTTAGTATGCTAAACTGAGAAAAATGTTGTCTTTTTTTCGTCGGGAGCTTGATTCGGTGTAGAAGTAGTGAGTGTGTTTTCAATGAGCGTTCAGTTGTAATTTGCGCTTGGTCCTGTCGCCTCAGTTCAAGTCCAAATATTTTTGATGCTCTTTTCTAGCTAAACAGGAACCAACTAGCCCACTAAGCCATTTTACTGATTTACAGGCTAGTTTACTGATTAAGGGGTTTGCAGGCTATTTCCTTCATCCTAAATAATATTCCTCCTTTTTTATATTTGGTTCATGGTAAGTGCAATAATCTATCCTCAGCAAAACATTGTACGTGAACGCAAAAATAGACTTCTTCATGCACACAATATGCTCAACGGGCATAGATATACATTTTTTTATCTTTTTTTTTTTCTTTTGCTGGTCGGCAGTGATTTGTCGGTAGGATCGTAACTGACGTTTATAAAGTATTTACTTTTTACATACTTTGAGTTTTCGTGCACGCCTTTGGAGTACATCTTTAGATTGCCGAAGGATTTCGCTGAAGTGCGAGTATACTGATGCTGCTAAAGCGCACTTTCGAAAGGTTTCTTTATGTCCTCTTATCACCATCAATCCCTGACTGTTTTTGTACACCCGGACTATCCCAGACAGTAAAAAAAAACACCTAAAGCTTAAAAAATCATTTATTCCGTAAAAACTATTTTACGTTATTTGATGGCGTTATTGTCGCGTTTTGCACCTTGAATATGCTCGTATTTAAACATTTTTACTGTATTAGCCATCAAAACATAGAGCAATAAAACTTAATCCCGCGTCAGCTACCGAGACAGACAAACAAAATAAGGGCTTAGCTTGGTACAGGGATTTTTTTAAACTCAGCTTCACGCCTCCAGAAAGATGTGAGTGCCGAATTTAACTCATTTTGGCGGCTCGTACAGCCACGAACGAAAACTGCGCACTTTTTAGTCAAAATGTGTATACCATGATGTATAAAATTTTTATGAAGCAAAACGGACAAGTGCCGGAACATGTCGGCAAATTGTACAATTAGTTGCATTGAAAAATTCTAATACAGGTGGCGCTAAAACTCAAAATACCGCATTTTGCCCCATGTTTCAGTTCGCTCCGCCTTACCCTGACTCAAAGGATCGATACAGGAATGCACACATCGCTTTATGACGCTTCGTTCGCACTCGTTTCGCAGTGAGACGCATGTTAGCACATGGACACATAATAACATGGGCTGCATCTCCACAAATGAGTCTAAAAAATGCATATAAATCTAGTGAGCGGGTTATATCGTATAAGTACCATCGCTACCAGATACACGCACACTTGTGAGTCGCGGTTGTCGCGCGACGCCTTCTTGGTGGCAGAGTGACGTTCGCTGTCGAAAAAGCAACCGGTTTCGTACAGTCGCTCTCTGGGCGATCTTTTCCAGTCCGGTCGCCGCGCTATTTAGCCGCAGGGGAAACCAGCGGCCTTCCGGAAAGTTCGCGTCGTCCATGTTTACGTCTGGCACAGGTTTGTTTACGTTTACTTTCATCCGGCACAAGGAAGTTGCCCGCGGCAGCTGCCATGGAGTTGTCCGACGCACCTGGATTCCGAAGAGAGCTCGAAATCCGGGTTTTCGGCACTGTGAAAACATGGCTCCTTTAAACTATTTCACGTACGCCTGCTTTTTTTCTTCTTTTACATTATGTAACTATTTTCTTAACCTGACATTTTGAGAATTTTTAATGTACGTTTGGTGTTTTCAATATCGGGGCCTGTCGTCGACATGACGTATAGACGTCGTTTCCGTCTTAAAACGCACATCATGAGCAGAACTGTTAGCGTATTGCTTCTATAGATGCCGTTTACAAACACAAGGGGATGGCTGGCGCAGCGCGTGCCCAGAAACATGATCGGCGCGAAGCTTTTACGCATAGCCGGGCCGCTAACAGCGCCACCACCGAGGCGTGACGTCAGGGTGTTGCGTTAGTGTACAAAGTGTGCGCGCTTTTCATTTAACATTTTCACGCAACATGTCATTGCACAATCCTCGGGATAATAACGGCGGCAAATATCGCTTTAAATGACAAACATAATCGCATTCAAATGTACAGCGTGAATAAGCATTCTCGCTAATCGACCAAACTTTCTTTGCAGTTTCAGGTGCTGCGAGGTGAATACTTTACGATGTAAGATGGTAATAAAAGGTTTTTAGTCTTGTTTAATACTCTCGTTGTTTCCACTGTTTATCAGTCCTCAAAAACGACTTCGAGATAAATATTTTGCAGAAACCGCGGTGTTGCGGGGTATAATTATGCATATTTTATTCGAAAATGAAGTAATGAAGCGCCGCTAACTTCGAGTAATGAAGCGCCGCTAACTGTGAAGTAATGAAGCGCCGCTAACTACGGCTTTATGAGGCATCCTAAGCGAACTGGGTGAAAGCATGAGTGTCACTTGTCATTTTTCATTCCATGTTTCTTTAAACAAATCGGCCGTGAAAGACATACGCCAGGAATTATAGTCATGAACATTATATATGCTCAAATAAACATTCCTACCACTTCTTTCTTTCCTTATATATATTAAAGGTAAGCATGTGTTTTGTCAACAGCACGTAGGCAGAAGGCTGCAGCTCTGGACTCTCCACTTCAAGTCGAGAGGCCAGTGCCGGGCACAAATCGGACGCGAGGCCTGCGTCCGCGTTCGGGGCTCGTCAGAAAGACTCGCATCCGAGTTCTCGGGCAGCTGTCGTCTGCAATCCCGTGCTGGTCCCTTTAGGTGACGTAGAAAAAACGGCGCTGCGGCCTTCTCTCTAGGCGCTTTGTGTTTTCTTTATTTTAAGGACGTTGAAGAGGAAATAAAAACGACTGAGCGATTGGTCTACGGTTGCAAAGTCCCGCGAGTTACCGAAGGTCAACGAGCAGTACGCTCAAACCCTGGCTGTCTGCCCAACTTTTGCCCTGTCAGTGACTCCATTCAGCCAAACTCCAGAGTTACCAAATCGCCGAACACTAGCCGTAATTGCGACTAAGACTTTATAGTTAATGTTGCTAAAATGTGTTTATATTACAAATAGATTACATTGAACTAAAAGTAGAGGATTAAATAAACAAATCATCACGAAAATATCTAAATTGCAGTAACTAGATTGCTGTGACGGAATTACCACTTAAGTACTTGAGGTATATATGCCAGTTTGCCAAGACACACGTTACACATTCCGAGTTTATTACGATTAAAAGAGAAGGGCGCGAAGAAGATAGCTTCGTGTCAGTTCCCTCGCAGAGCGCGGGCACTTTATTTGCGCACCGGGCTCGAGACGTCACGTCCATTATTTACAGCAAAAGACGTATCACTTCGAATGTGCATTGTTTTTGTGGCATTCGCTATGAACACCACCAGAATTACTCTACAAATATATGAAGGTGATTTGTTTACAAAGGACGTGTTAGTCATAATAGACAAAACCAAAATAACATGTTCCAAAAGAAACAACGCGATATGCAAGAAGAACGGAGAGTGCACTTACTTGTTCGAGAAATCATAGATCTTGTACTTTGCGGTGGACGAATGTCGAAACACCTATCGAAACAAACAAAATGAAAAGGAGGAAATCAGTACTGTACATGTTCCGGAAGCATTTGCTCCGAAGTGAACGCTATAGAAACACGCAGACATAGACGCACTTACATTTAGCAACAAACACGCTCACACGCATACGAACGCTGACTCTGAGGCACGCGTATTCACGTACACAGATAAACATGTACACAACCAGTAAGCTCAGACTTAATAAAACAAAATATTGGATTCTACTTACTGGCACAACATCGTGGACGAGCAGCAAAAAGTTGAGATCGGGCGACATGTAGTACTTCCTTACGTCATACTGTCGCTGCAAAAAACAGAAAGAGTGACCGGCGAATGAGAGAAGCCAGGAGACGAGCATCGTGTGTCTCAAGTGGCGTGTTACTCTATTCTTGACAACGTGCCTGCGCCATTACGTACGGGGAACAGGGAAAGTGGATAACCACTCCCCGAGGTATTCAGAAGAGCATTGTTTCGCGAGTGGATAGTGTAAACGAAATTCGATTTTCTTTTGAAAAAGTGACTATACAATTTTTTTTTTTCAAGTTCCCTATCTTAGATGACTTATTGGAGCGAAGCTGTTTTGTTTCAGGTTTGGCTATTCGCTGCGTCCCGTGGAGTGTAACGTATAACGTTTCGAGCGTTTTGCGAACACGAGGACGCACGCGTCTTGTTTAGTATCGCTTGGTTCACTAATTACCAGCGGCAAACACGTTATTATTAATTTGAAAAAGAAGCGGCGAGACGCTTGTCGCTTGCTGCTGACTCCTGATTATTCTTATTATGTGAGGCTGTGAGCTCATAAAGGCTATGATAGGGTTTGACCACACTCTGTCGTCCTTAGGCCGTCAATGACTACAGGCCCTTTTAAGATAGGAGAGTCTAACGGTCCAGCAGTGTCATAAATATTACGACGGCAAACCGTCTAAAAAATTTGTCAACGGTCTTGTAATAGCGAATAAGTCAACCATCTCAAACAGGAGTCGGGAAGAACAAAAGAAGCGATGTCTATCGTCCAATTGAGGGTCATTAATTCGGGGGGGGGGGGGGGGGGGTACACTTTGAAAAACGTTTGTGCGTCTACTTTCACGCACGACCCTCAGAGAGCCAATCACCGGAACTTACGGAGGCAGCTCAGCGAATTACAATGCCGAAACATATGTTTAGACAAAAAACGCAGTCTGAGTTGTGACATTAAGCAATGCAAAACGTCACGCTTGCATTGCTTAATGTCACAACTCAGACTGCGTTTTTTGGTATAAACATATGTTTCGGCATTGTCATTCGCTGAGCTGCCTCCGTAAGTTGCGGTGATTAGTTCTCCGAGTGTTCTGCGGGAAAGCAGACGCACGGGCTTTTTTTAGGGTGTAACGCTGAGGCAGCAGGCGAGAGTTCTGCAGTGTGTGGGACGCACGAGTGGCACTTCAGAAATAATCTACAGAAATCCAGTATGGGTTTTTCACCTCAACCAGGGGTGGTGGTGTAAAGTTAGCAAGGTGGGCAAGCGATTTGTATTCACCCTGGACGTTTTACGGGCCGCTGCAAGACGGAAGGGCGCAGTGGAGTTAAAGGCTGGGTATGTTCGTGCTTTGACTATTCCACGTCGGTCAGACCGGGAATGCTGGCTGTTCGTTATGAAAGCTGATTTCCCTGCTTTGACATCATGAATATAGCTGTTGCTGTTCTTGAACCTAAAATGAAACGAAACTTTCACCTAATTTAGAAGGGTGCGTGCTTGTTGAACCTCGTGACGAATGAACAATCGCTCTCGCCACAAAATATTCACAGCCCAGACGTACACAATGACTACAATAGGAAGTTTTAGCAAGTCGTTTCCGCACGAACGGTTCGCCCTAGAACGCATCGGCGACGCCACTGCGCATGCGCGCGTGAATCGTTCGGGGCGTCGAGAGGCTCTTGTCGTTTGTTTCTCCCATTCCGGCCGCTGGAGTCGTCCCCGCAATGCAGCCGGCACCATTCACGACTCGGGTAAAAAAAAAAAAAAAGATGGCGGTTGGTTTGGCGACTGACTCCGCCGACCCAGCCGAGCGTTAGGCTTAGGACAGCGAAAGGCGATTTGCCATCCTGTTACCCTGCTGCATTCGAGAGGTTGAACCAAATCATCTCGAGGACTGCTCGCTAAGGTAAGCGATCGTGAAAGCTGAAAACTGCGCATGATAGTAAATTTTTGCGATCTGCGGGAAGACTAGCTGCCGTGATGACCACAAGCAGACGAAATGATTTGGTTCGACGGCACGCAGCGTGAACGATCGTTCAATTTCAAAATGACGGAGGCACACCACATAGCTTTACGGTCGTTCAAATACTTTTTACTCTATCTAGCTTCGTAGTTCCTGAAATTTGGACAGGCAAATGTTGCGTGGGCCGTCTTGTTTACATGAGGTGCATGCCTGAAACACGAGCCGCCACGGATTTACACGTTGCAGAATGTTTCATATGTTTACTAGAAGATGGCACCACCGGTCAAACAGAATCATCATCATCGTTTATATGGTTGCGCCAGTTTGACGATTCACTAAAATAAGTCAAATTTCGCGTACGGTTTCACGTAAGTGACCAGCTGCACTGTTCGTGATTTCGGAATTGTAGGCTCGAAAAACGACTTGCTAAAACTCCCTAATGACTCTCAGGCGATCGCGCAGTTTCCACAGAAATATTGCAATGAATGTGGTCAGCAAAGTTTTCTGTAGATGTTTATGTTCTGGGGAAACAAATAGATCCGAGTGCACCTTTTCTTGGCAAAGTAATGACCCTCGAGTAAGAGCTCATAAGACTTTCCGATTATTTCACTGCAAAAATAGTAGATGATGCGCGTTTTAAACCCGATACTGGTGCAAGTCGGCAGAAATGTGCAGTTTTGGTCTCGCAAGCTAAACATTGTCTTTCATTTTTCTTTTTTTCTTTGATTGGACAGTATTCTTGTATCGCACAGGAAAATTCTTAGATTTGAAAGTGTCCCTCTAAGATGGAGACCTTGATTCGACCATCGCGCTTGCTTGATAGGTCATCCGTCTTCCGTCTTCCGCGAAGCGTCGCTGTAGGGTCTTGCAGGTTAAATAGGCCACAAAATGAATTTTGGGGCTATGATCAATTATTTAATATTGGGAGTTTAGTAAGCGCATATCATATGGTGGGCCAAAGAAAAAAAAAAGAGTGTAAAACGGCAAAAACCTACTTTTGCGTTCGAAACTTAGAAAATGTAGTGGACTATTTCGTACCTCCCTTTCTTTCGAAAGCTTTCCGCCTTTTCACTGTGATACATCCGCGGCCCACAAAACAGGTCAGCCGAGCCCAGCTCAAGCATTGGACACAAGAACTGCGTCACTCGGACGTATGCGCTCGTCAACAATCATTCCGTCTACGAATATTTGAATTCGCGGTTGAGGATGATAAGTGCCGTGACGGCACTTATCATCACTTGTAAATGCCAAATTCAATGGTGTGCTTAAAAAGCACGCTGGAAGCTTGTAGTCATCGCATCCCTGTGAAATACTTCGTCGCGAGCACGTGGTCTCTCCTTTCGCTTGATAGTTGAGGGGGAAGTTAGAAGGAAAAAGTTGATATATCATTGCATAACTTAAAAAAAAAACCTGAAAAAAAAATTTTTTTGAGCAGTTTGGTGGGACACGCGTGTAAAAAATATAATTTTACGCTAAATAAAAAATTTTTTACAGCAATATTGACGGTGGGAGATTTATTTCAAATTTTATGGGCAAAGTCCATGACGTCACGGATTGGTCATCTGTTCGACCTCTCCTCCACGTCCCCGAAATGTCGAGAGAGAAAATAAGTGAAAAGGAAGTGACTATCGACGAAATCGCGACTCGCGCCGTCAATATGGCACTAAAACATTTTTTTACGCGTAAAATTAATATCTGGACACGGGTGTCCGACCCAGACTGTTAAAAAAAAACTTTTTTTTTTCAGGTTTTTAAGGGCACAGAGAAAAAAAATAAAAAAAATATTAAGATTTCTTTTTTTTTTTTGCATTTTGAAAAGTTTATTTTTTCCTGTACAATTTTTATTGTCACACTGTTCTTAGAAAGTCATATTTCGAGCCGAAAAACATATTTTCCGAAAGCAAGTAACGTGTGACCACGTCATACTTTGGGATACGCCTACTGCTTATCAATTAATTTCCAAAAAAAAAAAGATCAACACCAAATCTGAGCGTATGTCCGCAATGAGCTACATCTTAAATATTAACTGACAACTATTTCATAACTTTTTTAACAAAGACAATCCCGAGACGCCGTGCATGTTTGTTCCACGTGTGAACTTTCAAGCGCTCGTGTTTTTAAACGACAAAATGGCGACATTGGATGCTGTTCCCTCGTTCAATGCGCTACAATCGCACGAGAAAACATTTTGACGTCCTCTGGATTGAACCCTGAATGATAAACCATCGAGTGGCTGAGGGAACTTGACCGCACTCGAATATACTTCGCGCTTGAGCGACACGACAGGTTACAAAAGAGAACCACCAAGCAAGGCAATAAGCCGCGAAGCGAAGACATGACTCTAACAATGATTATCGGGTACACGTAGCAGAGCGCGTTGGATGGAGTACAGTTCACACTGATGCCCATTACACTATGATGAACCAAAGTGGTTCATCATAGTGTAATGGGCATCATTTAAATGTAGCTGCTTGTTGAAAGAACTGCGTACGTCTGTCCCTAATATATTTTCTGTGTTTTCATTCTTTCCGTGTGAACTGAAATGATTATCATGCTGTTGGTTATTGAAGAAATGACTCCGGGGGTCTTGGTGCCAATAGCAATTTGTTATTCTTATGTTTTTTTTTCATTTTGACTAAATTATCTCAAAACAGTGTTTTTCAGTACATAGGTACTATTATATACTTAACCCGCCATTATTGAGGGTTGGTTTCTAATTCCTGCCACCTACATAGGTACTTTGATACTACCATTATATACTACAATTATACTAGGTACTAGGTACTGCCATTATATACTTAACCTGCCATTATTGAGGGTTGGTTTCTAATTCCTGCCACCTACATAGGAAGTACTGAACTAGAATTAAAAATACGTGCCACACAGTTTTTGGGTTACAGAATTTTAACACAGTGGGAGAGCTAAATTTTCAGTATTAAAAACATTTATAAAAATGTAATTTTCACTTGGTTTAAATATTTCTAGTTGAGTGAAAAAAAAACACTTGTGGATCAAATGATATATATATACGCATATATATGATAAAAATTGTCCTAATAACTACCGAGACCTAGAGCAATTTCCTCAACATGGCATAGAACACGGAGAGAATAGGACATACCCTGGGGGGCTTGAGAATAATAGGACAAGCTCCACCCACAAAGCCATTCACTTTTTCTAGTTTGGCAGAGCGAATGCTGGACAGGCGGCCAGCGCGATAGAGGAAACTGCCAGTCATGACGAACGGATACCTTTTGCTGGAAAATGCTTGTTCTGCTCTCCTAAACCTTCCACAGACTACAGCGTCCAATTAGCGTCGGTTAGAGACGTTCTACAAGTCACGCGAAGTAACCGAGGGCAGCATCGTGTCACCATACCCGTCCTGTCGCTGCGGCGCCAGGCGCAGTCGGGGTCGTCTGAGGTCCGCTTCCCCCTCTGCTTTGTTACCCACACCAACATTAGGGATAACGGTCTGTTTCCAATCCCGTTAGCGCTGCGAGCGAAGATCCGTCGGCGGCCACCACGAGGCCCTTCCGCCCGCGCATTGTGATGTAAAAGATACTCGGTCAGCGAGCGGCACGCAAAGGCTCGGCCGTAAAGGAGTTTACGGTCTGAGATGCCACAGGCATGGAAGAGATCTCCCCAGCGGCTGGACGAAGAACAGACCGGACAGTACTTTTGTTATTTTGTACATGACTCCATGTAGGTTTTACTTATCCTTTCTTTTTGGTTCGCTCGTTTCGAGCATGTTATGACCCTTTTCCGCTTATTGGATGTGTCCAAGGCGTAAAGTCGTATGTGAGCGACGGCTCAACGGGAGAAAGGAAAGAGAAAAAAACGATTACATGGTAAACAAGAAATAAAAAAGCTTATACGCGTAAGGAATAGCAAATTTTATCCAGCTCTCGTTTTTGGTCGTAAAAGTTTTGTGTGGCCATTGTCGTCTGACTCGCTTACGGAGGGCAACAAATACCACCGTAGGGTAAAATGTGTCATGAAAGGCCATGAGAATATTTGGTTGTTTTCTTGCGACGAAGTACTTAAAATTTAACCTTGCAGCTCGTTGCGGCGATACTTGTCTAACTCGCTATCTTAACGGCGCTCGTTGCTGCTGAGTTTTCGCTTTTCGTCTACAAAGAACAAGCTCGCGGTTGTAAACCGCGTGTAGTGCAAGCACCGTGCACGTTTGTTTGTGCAGCATCGAGCGTAACTAAAGTAAGCAATTCTAGCAGTGAAAACAAAGTGCTTGTTTCTACCAGGAAACTCCGCTTTTATGGGTCAAGGCAAGTTCGGCCACGCACACGGCATTAATAAAGCATGCAAAGGTTTTTAACTGAACCCCGAATCCCAAAAGTCTATCCGTCCGTTCGTCAGTCCGCTTATGCATTTTCCCGCTAAATTTAGCGGGAAAATGAACGTCCCGTTATGTCAAGGTACCAAGTGACACCACGAATTGACACCTTGATGTCCTATCACATAGCCACGTCACGCGACGTGGGGTATCACGAGACACCAGGCACAAAACCATGACGTCATGTGACATCAAGTCACGTAAATTCATGGCATCTCGGATAGGATGACTTAAAACGGTAATCTCAGGACAAGTGGCGTCAGTCTCCTTGTTGAAGTTAGTAGAGAAATCAATAAAACATATTTATTTATTGCCAGAAACGAGGGTTAATGTCTTCTAGACATATTTAAACGACCGCGTCTTAACTACTGAATTCCACGCATTAGAGGACATCGAAGCCAAAAGTCACAGGTATTTTGTCTTTTCGTCAGCGAATCGTTCACTCTATTGATGTGATCAAAGCAGCAGTAGCGATTCAAAGGTCGTCCGATCTCTACGTCCACTCCGATCAAGGGAAGGCGTTTGCTCACGAAGGTGGTGTTGTGCAGCAGCGTCCTCTTCTCCCTGTTCTGGGCGTTGTAAAGCACCAGGGCGCCATCCGAGTCCCTGTACACGAACTCGGAACCTGCACGGAAGGGGAAAAAAACAAGCACGACCTTAGGAACGGTAACAAGTCTGTCAAGAAGGAAAACAACAAATGTACACAAACTCCCACGCTCCGCGCGATTTCATCTCGAATTCACAATGAGTCATTCATTGGCAACAACCTTTCAAGTATACCCAAGCGTCTAATGTTCCGGCGTAAATTCCGAACGACAATCTCTGCCCTCTACGGAGGAAGCTTGCCGAACCACGGGGACAGAAGTATGTTTCAATCTAGGTATAGGTGTGTACAATGGGGTCATTGAACCGCCAATCATCGCATCACGACCTCGTCATTCGCCCATTGCCGTCCGTGTTTTACAGTGATTGGCTCCTCGAGCTTCGGCAGCGATCCGCGTTCCGTCAGGGCATGCTGGTGGAAGGCGTTGCCTGGATAACGGATCCGGTTAGAAATGTATATGAAATGACCTGCTGAGTGTCCCAGTGACGTCTACATAATTGCTGTGTCCATTTCGTTTTCTAGGAACGTAAGTTTATAGCTCACCCTGTGTGCTGTAGGGAAATAAGAACACGGAGAGCGGATCGCTGGAGTCTACAAAATAAGGGAAAATAACGCTAAGACTAGCAAGCATTTCGATCCTCCAATTTTATTCATACTGGAAAACTCAACATGTTTCTTTTTCATTGGAAAGTAGAAACATGATAAATTATTTAATGGGAGGAAATGCTCAATTAACACGTAGTAAAACATTTTAGAAATTTATTTACCTTGATACCTGGAATAAAGTTTTGTGCTCAAAGAATAAGTTGGTTTCGCTCGTTTCCCCTCCCTACCGCGGTTTTTTAATGCGAAAGCATTAACTGTCCCACGGAGCGCAGCCGGCGTTGTCTGTGACCGGGAAGAACGGGCAACTGAAGGCAGTTAAAATGGCTGCGACGTCCATGGAGCGCAGTCGGCGTTGTGTGTGACCGCGAAAAACAGGCAACTAAATAACGGCAGTTAAAATGGCCGCGACGCGTCATAGTTCCATAGAACGCCACCGCACAGAGAAGCTCTCTCCTCTGGCGCTGCCGCCTGTGAGCTTATAAAAGGGAGACGGTGGCGCGCGCGCGCCCGCCGCGCTAGGCGTGGCCGGACGGGGAAGGGGGGGAGTTGGGGGGGGGGGGGGAGCTACAAGTTCAGGTTCCGTCTGCTAGGCGCAACGCCGCACGCCCTGCCGGTGCTGCGACCCCTTCTACTCCTCCCGGCGGCAAGGAACATCGCGGCTCCTGAGTAATATTTATATCGTCGGCGGCCACTACCTCGGCAGTAGCCAACCGTGGCAGTCCACGCCAGCGCTCAACGGCGTTCAATTGGACATCAATGCATTCGCATTCAGAACTCATAAAAAGTGCTTCTGTTTCCTCCGAAATGCATTTATATATTTTTCGTGACGTGAAATTACGTGGCATAGTAATAGGACACGGCAGCGCGGTTCCCCTCACGCTTCTCTAAAATAACTATCGCTTCACAATTCTCCTCCCTGACACAGTCGTTTGAAGTTGGGCTCAGAATCTTGGGCTCCTAGATTCGATTCTCGTTAGGCACGTTTGGAGCTTCGTTCTTTGTTGTCAATTTATGACTATTTTATGTCATCTAAATTATAAGTGGGATCAAAAGGAATGAATGGTCGAGTGTGCTCCGAGCTTCAGCGCGTTCTTGGATTCAATCCCCGCCCCCCTGCCCGTCTCGATGTGGATGAACATCGTACCGGCGTGCTGCGTGCACTGCCGCTTGATGCACGTTCAAAGACCCCCGCGTAGCCGTGCTACCGCACCGGCTAAATTTATCATGTACAGCGGAGGCACCTGTCGCCCATCTGGGGCTAACGAAGGTTCTGCTCTCTAAGCACACACACAACACAGTTACCTCATGTCAATTATATGTTATTGTTTTTCGATTTTCCCACGAATTCCCAGCACATATATTGTGACGCTTTTTAGTTGCTTTACGTTACACTTTCCTAGGAGCTTCTAGCCGTTGAACATAATCTGTATTAAAAACCTTTCAGCCTTTCCACTCCGGTGAAGAAGGAAGACCAGCGGAGCTGTACAACGGAAAGTAATGGGCGGCCGCAAGTCGGCAAGCCAGATTGGAAAGGCTGCCGCCATCTATGAGCGACAGCGGCAACCAGATACCTGGCTTGCCGCCGTCGCTCATAGATGGCGGTAGGTGTCCAGAGTTCGGTGTCTTCATTTCTTTGCGAGGGACACGATCCTGGGGAAACTGACCCTTAACAGCTCCGCTGTAAAAATCAAAGGCACCACACATCCATATCACAGAGTGTGAGAATTTTAGGTATCGGAGAAGGGCAGAGATTGAAACATAAAAAGGGAGAAAGAGAGGAGCAGAAAAGGTAAAGCACGGGGATATGCTATCAAAGTTTCAAGGCTATCATTTACACCCTCAATGATACTAAACTGATTTACAGCGTTCGGTGTCAAGGCGGTCGCAAATTAAATCTCTCGGACAAAATCTAGGACTCCATCTAACTGATTGTATTAGGCCGAAACCCCGTTCAAAGGTTTTCCGGACGAGCGCTTCACGCGTCATTTTTTTCTGCTCGGCTTAATTGAATTACATATTTATTGGGTTTAGTGGAGCGCACAACGTCATTATTCAAGATTCGTCGTGCGATACACTTTTCACTATATTCAACGCTGATCTGATTTGGCTCGCTGAATACAGATAAAACATATTTAAAGCCCGACACTAATACCATTACGTATCTTCCAAGAGCGAGGTTCCACATGGCTCAATTGACCAATCGTCAAGGATAAAATTAAGTACTTTCCTCACATAATTGACGTGGCGACACAGTGCAAGAACAACGATACAAACGGATTCAGAAGATTCAACACACCAGGCGCTCCATCGTACTCAATGTTTTAGGTATTATTTTAGTGTAAAGCGCCGTCGGTAACGACCCGTACATGGCATATGGCATATATGGCTATATGAAGAATTTGGTAAGTAAGGTCATATATAGCGATATATCTATGAGTAATACCTTTTGGCGGGCTAGTGGGTTCCCGTATAGGAAAATAAATCAAATGCGCTAAGGACGAGGAAGAGGCAGTAACAAGTACGACACACAGAGGCCGGCCTTATATACTCACTATCTCATACAGCCATATATGGCATTCATGTACAGATACCGAGAACTGCTGTGTGCGTCTGTATGTGTGTGTGTATGTGTGTGCGCACCGGTTCATTTATTTTATTTATTTACTCATACTGCTCGCCTCGTGGAGGCTGTCGGACGAGTGGAATAGACCCACAAAAAGTACAAATAAATAAGAAAGTGCTATCGCAAGAAAGAAATATATCGGCAGCGCTCTGCTGCATTACAATGCATACCACACTTTGAGTAAAGACAAGGTGCTGTGTCATCAGCACCCACGGAAAAACGGAAGTCCAGCAAAACCCCGTCTTCATAACTAACAGATAACATAGAAAAACAAAATCAATCACAACACTGATAAAATAAAATAAAAAAAAACAATGTAGAAGAAAACTTCAACGTGTTAACTATTGGCGAGGAGATCGGACAGTCCAGCGCTACACTTCACCTCCAGCGGTACGCTTCAGCTATGGGGACAACAAACCGAATTTTCTTGTTTGTTTTTCATCAGAGAAATCGAAGATGACGATTCGAAGACCGTTTTTCGTGCGACCAAAGCACTGGTCAAAGCGAGGCGCTCGTGCCCAGACCGTGCTAGGCGAGCTTCCATTTCATTGTTGTGCTGTGTTAGTGAACACCCGGCTACACTGTAACCCGGCTGTGGGGAGAACAAGACAAGTAAAGCCCCTCTATCCTGGGAAAAGTGGAACCATTCATTGTTGTGTAAACGCTTGAGACACGGGCCGCGCGCCACTTCTGGGAAGAACATGGCGTCTGAAATATAGCCCAGTGCTGCGCTGTGCCGCCATGATCTTCCCAAGGGCTGCACGTTTCACGTGTCTCGTTCATCGACGCACCTTGCGCTACTTTTGCAACATAAAGGGGCTTAAGGCGGCAGTTCCACGGCCCCAACCGTAATAGACCCGTTGCTCTCGGCAGGGGGCGCGAGCGCGTCCGCAAAACGCGACCATGTTATGCTGTCAGCACTATCCAGGCGGTGCTATGACGTTCGATTTTGCACGTGCAACGTTCGAATGCAAGCATCTGTCAGCATCTGTAGACGCGCGATAACAAAACGTCTAAAAAGAGAAAAACTAAAATAACAAAAAGAATTATGGAACTCGTGGACTCAGCGTCCCATTCAGCTTTATTAGTCTATTGTGTTCTTTCATAGCTTCCGCAAGCCCGTACGCTTCACTTTACGTGATAGCGAAGCTGAAGCTGCTTGCAAAAACATGTTTCCCTGAACGATGCTCGCAGTGCACGAGCGCGCGCGCTTGGAAGGGACACTGCAAGCTCGGAGCTCGCTCTCGTAGGCTCTGCTACGCTAGCGGTTGTAATGGAACGGAGTAGAAAAAAAGTGTAGTGGGGAAGCGTGATGACACGCGTTCGAAACGCGAGCCAAATATTCTATTTTGCTCGCCTGGAGCGCTGCTCAAAACTTGAGAGCTACGGGCCTATACCGGTGGTAGCTGTTTGCGGTGCAAATGTCGCGTCTGTGCGCGTGCCACCTATTTCGTTCTTTTTGCAACTAAATTTTCAATTTATCGTCATTCTTTTAGTGTGAAATGTGATACTCATTTTTCAAAACTTAACGTACAATAAAACAACAAAAAGTGCAAGTTTTAATATTTTCATAGATAATTCTGATATTTTCTATGCATTCCGAGTTTGTAGACTTGTAATGCATTCAAGACGCATTCTTATTTTTTTATTGAATAGAAAAAGGACCCGTCTAGTTCCTTGAATGCGTGTTTTTCTAATTATCGTACTCACATTTTTTAATATTTATTCAAAAAGAGCCTTTTTTATGCTATTTTGAAGTGTCGTAACTCAGTTTCACGTCATAAGGCAGTCA